GCTGCCCCTTATCCGCTCTCCTCCCAGCAGTGGGGCTTGTCGGGACCCCCTGCCCTCCTGGCGGGTGAGCTCCGGATGACTGTCGGGCTCAGCCTGCATCCCCTTCCCAGAGCCGCCAATGTGGCAGCCTGAGCCTTGTCACGGGGGGCTGCATGCAGGGCACTGGCGCCCGTTTCCTGGGACCTCACTCTGGCCTCAGCTCTTTGCCTCGGACAGGAAGACACGGAGGCGAAGAGGTGGGAAGACACTGAATCGATCCAATGAAGTCCCCGTCTGTGCCCTGTTGTAGGGCCGGTGGCCACTCTCAGGAGCCCCACGTCCTCAGGCCTGTGTTTGCAGGCACGTCCTTGGCGGTGGCGGGGCCGGCAGCCCGGCAGGCCACGTGGTGCTGCTCCTGGGCCTCCTTGTCCTGACCGTCCAAGCCCTGGGGGAGACTTTGCTCCGAGGACTTGGCCTTTCCTGCGGCCATGGGGGCAGGCGGGGATTTCTCCAGCGTGACCCGCAAGAGATCCGAGCTTGCCCGCAAGGGCCCTCCCGTCTCTCTCTTTAGTGACGCATGCGGGTCCTCCTGGAGCGACGCCCAGAGGGCCATGGGCGCGCAGGGCCTAGCCAGCAGCGGGCTGACAGCCTGTCCCAACAACCACCACCACCCAGCTTGCTCTGCACACCAGCCCCTCAGCCCCGCTCTCCCTCAGCACCCCCACCCTCCTGCACACACTGAAATAAGAACATAAACCCGAATTTATAATCTTCAAACAAACTGCATGTTGAAATGATACTATTTTGGATCTATTGTGTTAGATGAGTACATTATTAAAATGATTTTAACCTCTTTCTGATATTTTTGTTTTTGTTTTTTTAAAGATTTTATTTATTCATTTGAGAGAGGGAATGAGAGAGAGAGAGCACACGAGAGAGGGGGGAGGGTCAGAGGGAGAAGCAGACTCCCCGCCGAGCAGGGAGCCCGATGTGGGACTCGATCCCGGGACTCTGGGATCATGACCTGAGCCGAAGGCAGCCGCTTAACCAACTGAGCCACCCAGGCACCCCTCTTTCTGTTGATGTTTTAAATGTGGTGCTGGAACGCTCTTCCGACCCCTGGGGCACACGCCGGTCTCTCCCGCACGGCCCCGTTAAGCGCACCTTCCACACAGCAAGTAGCAGGACTGGGGAACACCAAGCGGGTCCTGTCGCTCCAGCGGTCAGAACCTTCACCGTGTCGTGCCAGTGACAGCGTGGTTTGTAAGAGACCCATGCGTGACATCAGACCATTTGCGGCATGGTACACAATCTTCCGCAACACGGAACAGTCACAGGAACTTCCACCAAAGGGGGTCCGTGGGACTGCAGTTCTGGAAGGGCTATGGATCAGAGGGGCAGCCAGAAATGCCCTCAGTAAAGTGGAACGTGGACAAACATTGTATATCACTTTTGGTAAATGCGTCACGCGGCTGGCACAATGACAAGAAATCAGGAGGAGCAAAAGAATAAAACGAAAGAGGGGCGCCTGGGGGGCTCAGTTGGTTGGGCGACTGCCTTCGGCTCAGGCCATGATCCTGGAGTCCCGGGATCGAGTCCCGCATCGGGCTCCCTGCTCAGCGGGGAGTCTGCTTCTCCCTCGGACCCTCCCCCATCTCATGCTCTCTCTCTCATTCTCTCTCAAATAAATAAATAAAATCTTAAAAAAAAAAAAAAAAAACGAAAGAAAGGTGAGCATGACCGCAGCCATCACTGCTCAGTCTTCCATCAAGTGGCCCTTATCCTCATATGCCAAACTGGCACTTAGAGCTCTAGCCATCACACCTGTGTCCCAGGCAGCAGGATGGAGGGAGGGACAAAGAAACAGCCAAGGGCCACACAGTCATCTTTTAAGAAGCGTTCCAGAAGCTGCAGCCTGGCCCTTCTGTCGGCACCCGGATGCCCAGCTCCTGTCCTGGAGCCGCGCTCCCACCCCCTGCGTCCCCCCACCCCCCGTCCAGGACCAGAAACCGCGAGGCTGCCCCCTGCCACCCTTTACCTCCGTCTGTGATGCTCCCACGTCCCACTCTTCCGGCTCCCGAGCTGACGCAGATCCAGCCTTCACAGCTCGGTAGGAAAGCGGCTTCAGGCTGGCCTGGCCGCCGTGGCACCTGGTTCTCCTGGTGTCTGACAGATGGCTTCTCTGCAGCTCCCTGACTTGCACTCTGCCTGGAAGGCTGGTTCGTTGTGCGGGATGACTGGTGAGGTCCTGGCCCCACACGGCCGGCCCTCCAGGCCCGGCTTCCTGCTCAACCGCCAGCACCCGGCCAGACTCTGGCGCACGGAGGGGGCTCAGCATGTAACTGCCAGCCTCTAGCTTCCCGTCCCACCACCCCTCCCTGAGCGCCCAAGGTCTTAGCAAACGGGCCACTTCGCCGATCGCTCTGGGGCAGAGCGCAAACCGTCCTCCGCCTGCAGAGCCAAGGACAGCGGGGAAGCTCCTGTGCAGCGGGGCTGTTTCTTCAAACCCCTGTGGCCACGCCACAGCCACCCAGGGCATGGGGGCGGGGGCCTGCAGGCCACTAGACCAAGGGGAATACGGGCTGGAGGTGCTGTAGAGGAAGGCCCAGGAGCACGAGAGGTCAGGAGGCAGTGGGCCTCCCACAGGCTGCGCCCGGGGCCGACTCCCACCGGGTCCAGGAGCCCCCGGTTCACGGCTGTGGCGGTCCGCTCTGCTCCGGAAGCCGCCTGCGGGCCCTCGGCGGGCTGTCAGCGTCGCGGTGCCTCTGTCTCTGAACGGAGGAATAGCAGCTTCTCCCAAGGAGGGCCGAGACCAAGCTGGAGAGCGCAGACCCGCAGTCACCATCCACCGTCTTTGCGGACACATGGCTCACATGAGCAGACATGGAAGCGCGGTCGGCCCCAGACCGTCCTGCCCTTGGAGCGCACCACACAGGCCCCAGTGAGAGCAAGCGGGTGCAAGGGCCGCGTACATCTGAGTGCCCACGAACTCTTCCTTAAGGAACCGGCACAGCTGTTCCCGGACGAGCCAGGACCGGCTCTACGCACAGGTGCACGGCCGGGGGCCACGGCCGCTTTTCGCGCAGACGCACCGCCACGGCCTGCGGGAGGGAGGACTTGTTTAAGGGATTAGAAGTGTTGATTGAAATACTCTTTTTGAGTGAAATACAGAGAGTTTAAATGTTATGATTTTTTCTTTTTTTCTTTAAACTTACTTCCTTAAGCAATCTCTGCACTCTGTGTGGGGCTCGAACTCACGATCCCTAGATCGGGAGGCACTCGCCCCACCGACTGAGCCAGCAGGGGCCCTGAGTGTTACGGTTCTTAAACACACCACGAACATTCTCTGTTTCTGGGGCCAATCCGCACACGTGCCGGCCCATTTCCCGGAAAAGACGCGGCTCGTGGATGCAGACGACAGGGAAGGGTGAGAGAAGGGGAGTGAATTTAAGTCCGGGCAGCGGGGTGCATGGCTTTCAAACTACTGTACGGTCAGGAGGCACGGCTTCCAACGGCTGTGCAGCGGCCACTGGCGAACGGGGCGCGCGGTGCTCGCGCAGCGAATGCCACTGCACTGTTCCCACTCGAGCCTGGCTCTGCTGAGTGGGGGCCTCACAGGCCGCCGGTGTGGCCTGCAGCTGCGACCCAGGGCACCAGTAAACCAGAGCCCTGCCCCCCTCTCCCACAGAACTTACTGGAAGGGTTCTAGAGACCAGGCGGGCACAACTCGAGAAAAGGGGACTTTCACAAGGGCCAGACCGCCTCCCGCTGGGCAGAGCCAAGGCCTGCTCCCCTGGCTGCACGTGGACCAACCATAGGCGCGAATGCTCTGCGCCCACGAACCTGAAGGGCGCCACTGTGCACACAGGCTGAGTCCAAACAAAGGCACCGAACCCGAGGTCTGTTTCCTCCGTGGCAGTACCAGCCAACCCCGGACTCTCGGGGTCACTACTCACGGCTCAAAGGAGCAGCCAGGTCTACACTAGGCTGCAGGGCAACCCTGGGAAGCAGCGCAAGCTCACCCTTCCTCACGCCCGTCATGAGAGAATGGTGCCCCGGATATTGGGACGGCAGGGTCCCAGCCCCCGAGGGAGCCCCAGCGCACGGTGACGCTGTGCCCGCCTGGAGGCCACGCTGTCCTGAGGTCAAGAACCTGGCGATCATAAATCCGCCGCACACACTCCGCACACGCACTCCAGGACACGTACGTCCCTCAGCTGGAATCTGGACGTGCCTACAGCAGGTGACACAGTGTGATGTGGGAGGCTGGCTGGGCCCTTTGGGACACTTGCTCTTGGAACCTGCTCCAGGCTGTGAGGAGGCGGGAGCAACCGCTGGTGAGGCCCACCCGCACTGGAACTGGGAGCCCGAGCCCAGTGCCAACGCGCCTCCAGTGGTCACCAGTCCTGCAGGCCAGCTGGTGTCACCTCCCCCCAGCCCTGAGCTCATGCAGATGCGCCAGCAAACAGGTTGCTGGCCTCCTGCCACCATGCCCGGGGGTGGCCTGTCGGGCAGCGTGGAGCAGGAACCCACGTCCTCAAGGGCAGCTTTTCTGCGCAACCGCGGAAGCGGCTCCCGGGTTTGAGGAGGCTGCAGAGATAAAGCTACAACAGCCCAGGTCGCTTTCTTCTTTAGTTAAGTGTTGCATAAACAGAGGAAATGTGCAGACTCTGAAAACGGCAGGCTGTAAAATGTGGAAAATTATCAAAGTAAATTCATTTTATAAAAAGAAGCCTTTAGTTAATCAAGCATTTTAATGATGTACAATGTTCTAATTTAACAAATGAAAATGTTAAGAAGATAAAATAAAGAATATACCATCTGTAAAAATTCAGGATGTTTTACAGAAAAAGTTATAAAAATTGAGGAAGACGCTTTTATGAACAGTGAGCTGGAACCCCCCACGGACGCTTCCCCAGCTCCAATGGGAACGAACGTGCCCGTTTTCTCAAGAGGGAGCTCCAGCTGTCCGCATGGCGGATGTTACTTGTGAGCGACCACAGAGGTTTCCAGGAGTCGTGTGCGCTGGCAAACGAGCCCGAGTCTGGCTGCAGACAATACCGTCTTGGCACAGGACCAAGTCCATCCATGCAGACAAAAGCTAGAGGAGATACGGCTGTCCTGTCCTCGGGGCGTGCGCACAGTCAACACACTGTTGACAGTGGGGGGAATGGGTTCTGCTTGCTAACAACTAACTTCTGATGCTGATGTGATATGTAGCCTTTGATGTGACCCTGGGGGAGAGAGACGGCCGGGGTCACAACAAGCCTGTCGGCTGGCTCACCCCTCCTCAGCCCTGGGTGTCAGCGGTCTGCTCCAAACACAACGGAGAAATGCAGAGACGCTGCACAACAGGGACATACAGACGATGTCCGCCCACCCGCGGCTCCTCAAAGCCTGGTCACTTCCCGGAATAACAGGAGTTCTAACAAACACCAACGGCTTTCCAGCCACTACATGAGAGCCTCTGGCTCCAGACCCGGCCGGCTGGGGGGCGTCTCACCATGTAGATCAGGTTGGCCAGGATGCACTGGACCTCATCGATGTCCACGTCTTCCACCTGCATGAACTTCAAGGCGACCAGGAAGGCATCTAGAGACAACTGGTGTGTTCTGAGCAGCAGATACCTGGGAGGGGCAAGCACAGGGCCACGTGGGTTACTGACGGGACTCAAGCACTCCAAAGGCCGAGAAGGCATCCCGAGTCAGGAGGGAAAACAGGACCCTAGCACAGGTGTGACTCCATCTCCCCATATTCATCTCAGAGTCCAAGAAGCACGTGATCCCACATTCTGATGTCTCTGTGATCAGGACACCCCTTACCACGAACCACACCCTGTGGATTCGAGGACGCATGGCCCTCACTATTCTGGACAGACTACCCACAGCTGGGAAAAGGGACGGATGCAGAATTCAACTTTCTGACAAACAGGAGTGGCAGGGCTGGCTTAGTCGGTTATGAATAAAGGACACAGCACCTGTCCCATTCGTGGGACAGAACGTGGGACACCTGAGGCGTGCCCGCGTGCCCGCGAGGTGCTGGGGTGCATGGAGCTGGCGGCCGTGGGCGGGCCTGGAGGTCTGACTGCACCTGCACAAGCTCAGGGCAGTGCTGGGGCCTTGTCCACAAGGGCGCACACCCCGTCTCAGGGGGTCATCGCCCTTCACAGTGCGGGGGCTGAGTCACACTGAGAACTTAAACTTACTAAAAAGGAAACACTTAGCTCACACTTTCTTGAAAAGATTCCTGTAGGTGATGATCTTCAGCTTTTCAAGGATAAGGAAAATGCCACAGCGAATAAAGAAGGTCTCGTGCTTCGTCAAGGCCTCGTTCAAGAGCAGAAGGTTGCCCTCGCTGGGTGTGGGGAGAAATGTGCACACACAGTCAGGAAAACCAAAGCCCAGGACCAGCCCTCGCACAACACGTGTGAGACTTCTGATGATTAATTCTGCGTCTGAAAGCCCCCAATGGAAAAGGACACGATACCTGACGGCTTTGGTCACTTCGGCAAACTGCATGAGATGATACTTCCTCAACAGCTCGATGGTCGGCATGTGACCCTGAGACAGATTGCCCATTTCCCAGAGTAAGAGCCTTTCTTTGTTAACAGAATTATCTGTGATAAAATCCCTATCAGGAAGTCACATCTTAAAAACCTGCAACCTATTTCTTCAGAAGCAGCTGACAAACCAATGCGGGTCTGGCAGCCAGAGCCCCAGGGGCACCCGGCCTGGCCCCTCACGGCTCATATCCAAGGGGGAAGACATGGCGGAAGACAGGCCGGTGTAAGGGCTGGGAACTCGGAAACACCTTCCAGAAGAATCGGCTGAGCCATTTACAACTGGTTGTTTCTGGGAAGCAGGCTCAGACGCGGAGATAAAGGTACGACTTGTTGCTTTTCCCTTACAAGCTACCCTGAGCTATTCAAGTTTGAACCGTGTGTACCGCTTTGATAATTTTTTAAAAATTTTAAGTGGGAGGAAAGGAAGCTCTATCACTTTGAGGAAGTTTTGGTCAATTAACTTGCTAGTTGTCATTTCTTTTCAAGTATCAAATTAACTTTGGGTGACTAAATAAGATACCTACCTAAAGAGAGGCTAGCACAACGTTTTTCTTTCTCGCTTAATCCGTTTCTATTAAATTACATTTTTAGGAGCAATAGAAGTAATATACATTTATTTTATCTCACATACGTTGAACTTCTGAGGCAGATACTTTTAAGAGAAAGTGTCAGCCGTGGAGATAAATGGTTCAGGCCACACACCAAGCAGCTTACCCTCCCCTATCCATTTCTGGGGTGTGTTCACAGGCGGCTCTATGTAGCTACGCAACACCTGCTACATTTTTAAAACTGTATCAACCTCTTCAGTGAGCACCGAGACCTCCAAGAGCGGAGTAGAATCACTTACCAGCAGCATTTTTACTGGAAGCAAATATATCAGAATCATCCTTTTGTTCTTCTGACTTGAGCGGTGGCAGTGCTCGAAGGCAAAGGACAGGTACTCCTCCGCTGTAGATACAAGTCACACCACACGCGATCACTGTGGCCCCCGCCCGCACCGCATCCCACCACTGCATCCCGTGAAACACTGCTGTCTCAGGAACCATCAATTCCTACCACTGATAGTAATCAATCATTTCTCGCTGTATTGCTGTATTCAAATGAGTTTGGAGGAAAAACATTATCAACACCAAACTTGAGAAACTTCAAAAGAATATAAATTAAAAGCTTCTATTCTTGGGGTGCCTGGGTGGCTCAGTCGTTAAGCGTCTGCCTTCGGCTCAGGTCATGGTCCCAGGGTCCTGGGACCAAGCCCCGCATTGGGCTCCCTGCTCCGCAGGAAGCCTGCTTCTCTCTCTCCCACTCCCCATTTGTGTTCTCTCTCTCACTGTGTCTCTCTCTGTAAAATAAATAAAATCTTTAAAAAAAAAAAAAAAGCTTCTATTCTTGGGCTTTCTATTCTAAGGAAAGAAAAAAGCCGGGAGAACCACCGAGGACAGCCCTTGTTCAAAAGCCGTGGGTCTATTAAAACTTCTGTGAAAGAAAATGAGGTTGGTCTGCACAAGCCCATCGAAGAGAAACCAGGGCACGCCCCCGCAGCGCGGTCACTTCCGCTGTTGGAGAATCCCCGGCCGGAACACACAGAAAGCGAAGCCGTTCCAGGCCCCGTGCCTCACGTGCACACAGCTGCTAAGGACACGGGCTTACAAAGTCTGGTCCCAGTACGGCCCAGGAGACCGTAAAGAAAAAACGCGTGTCAGCTAATCTCAAAGTTGAAAAGAAAAAACCTGGCTTTGTGTTCTTGAGAAGTCAGCACAGACACTCCCTGCGCCGTGGTTTCCGGAGAGCACTGCCTGCATGAGCAGGGCCCGAGCACCACGCCGCGCAGCGGCCCTCCACTCTGGCAGCCCCTGGGGTGTCTAACACAGACACCGGCAGCTGAGCCAGGGGCTGCTCGGGCTCCCTGTCCTGGACCCTGGGCCGCCACGAAGGCACATGCCAGAGAAGAACAGTGGTGCCGAATCACTCCCACGAGAAAGTCGCCAGCATCAACAAACAAACGTGCACACGCAGGATAGGGGTCCCCCCCGCTTGCCACCTTACGTGCTGCTAAGAGGCAGTGAGCGTTCTCAGACGTTGCTCAGGATCCAGTGTCTTTAAAACATGGGAAATAAAGATTAACAACCAACCTTGCTTGAAGTCGCTGTCGAACATGGCCTTGCGCCCGACGTAGTACCTGAATGTCACCCTCTGGGCAGTGCTGTAGTCGTCTTTCAGGTTCGAGCTGTCGATGGCTCTGATGAGGGGCTTGCACAGGTGCAGCTTGTTGATCTGGAACAACCCGTTCCAAGTATTATTCAACAAAACAAGCAGGACAAACAAAAGCTTCCACTTTACTAAATATTTGCCTTCTCTGGGAATTACAATGCCAATTACATCATCAAAACTGATTAATAAGTGTTAGTAAGAAACACTAAAACACACGCCGCGTGGTGCAGATGACACCCAGAGGGGCCAGGCACCAGCTGCTGGTGCCCCACGGGGCCGCCCTTCGCCTGGACAACTTTGTGCGGCAGGAAGGACCTCCTGACCCATCCACCCACCACCTACTCCGTAGCTAATTGTTACAGCAGCGGGTGGAAGGCCTGGGGTCATACCCCTCACATTAAATCCCACCCGCTCAGGGCACTGGTGCCTTGCTTTTCCCCGGGAGATGCAGGGCTCCCCTCGTGGGGTGGAGGCTGAAACAGGACAGTCCCTGCACCTAGCAGGTGCTCAACAGACTCGACTGGATACGGCTAGGTGAGGATCACCTCCCGGCAATGCCAGGAAGGCTGGCACGGAGACGGCATTCAGGGAGTCAGGAAGAAGGGAAAGGCCCACAGAGTATTTAAGGCGCCCACATGGAATCACACCTTAAAGTAAATCTTGAATAGCTGGTTCACCAGGAACAGCATCCCCCACTTCTTAGAGTCCTCGATGCCGGCCCGACTACAGGAAAACAATTCTTTTTAAGTTACACATCAATGTTTATAAATCACACACACACACAAATCTGCCTAAACAAAATTAATACCTCGAGATAAAACCCCACAGCTCAAGCCGTGCCCGTGGAATAAGCAGCCCGAGCAGAGGCCGAACTACCAGCTACAACAGACGACACCACTATGCACGTGGGCCGCCGCCGACTGCCTCATCAGCAACCCATCTGTTATTTTCAACGGGACGTGTGCTTGCTCATCCGGAGGACAACATGAACTCGGAAACACATGACAACGCGGAGCAAGACGCAGCGCACGCGGTCACCAACGGGAGACTGGAACCGTGGTGAGGGTCCGCCTGGGAAGGGGACGGTGTGATGACAACGTCCTCGGCCTCAGGAAGGGTTGGGTCACACATGCACACACACTCGTCAAAATACAGTCGATATCCGTGTGAATCACTGCCAGGAAATGTTACCTCCAACTACAAAGGAGAAGTGTGGCATTTAGGGAAGTCTCTGATGGACGCATAACCTTTAGAAGAAAGAAAACTGCTAGATGCACAGAAGGAAAGACACGTGACTGGATAGCATGCGGCATGTACAGTAAACGCCAACGGTGCACGTGGTGAGTCTATAGGTGTTCCCTGTGCAATTCCGTCCACACGGTCAGACGCTCGAGGATCTTCACGACACAATGCTGAAACACAATGCACAGTGGAGCCTGCCGCGTATCTGTACCCTGCAGTGGCTCTTCTCAGGGGCAGCTTGCACGCCCACAGACGGGGCACCGGAGAGGGGGGCCAGCAGCAGGCCGCCTGCACACTCGAAATCCCAAGGCATGGGATCAAAGCATATGAAATAAACACGCCGGTATGGAACCACAGGCTGCTTACAAGCCAGGGTCAAAGAAACCCTCCCCAAGACCATCCCTAAGATCCCTTCCATATAGGAATATTCAGTGTAGAACCGCAGTCAGCGTTTAAAAACAAAGTCCTCTTCCGTGATAGCGGCCAGCGCCTCTAGGACTCTTGTCACTCAGTGGCGCCGTGACCTCCAATCAACACGGGGATGATTGACACTGTCTGCCTCTGAGGGTAGAAAACAAACCAAACACTCTAACACCGGTGACTGGTCTCTTCTGGAGACACTCAGGAAGCAACCCCCGAGGGGTCTCTCTGAGGCCCAGCCCGCTGCAGCCCCCTGCATGCTTGGCACGCTGCTGGGTGTGAAGTGAGGCCTGCTGTGGTTTTCATTTGCACTTCCTTGCTAAGGATGCTGAGCATCTGTTTGTGGGTTTACTGGCCATTTGTCTATCTTCTTTGCAGAAATGTCTATCCGGGGCCTGTGCCCACATAAATCGGATTACTTATCTTCACACATTCTGGATACAGGTTACTGTCAGCTACATTATTTGCGAACATTTTCCCCATTCTATGGTTGTTTTTCACTTGTTGGATGGCATCATTTGGAACACAAAGTTTTTAATTTTGATGAAGTCTGGTTTATCTATTTTTTCTTAGGTTACTATGTTTTGGGTGTCACATCAAGAAAGCCAGTTACCCCACAATAAACACGTACGGCTCAAGAGGGGAACACAGGGCACCCGTGTCCGTGGCGGGACACGCGTCTAACATATGTGAGCCCGGCGTCTCAAAGGAGACAGAACGCGGACAAAAGGGAGCGGGAGGAAGGACGTAGCAATCACCCTCGGAAGGCTCTAACAAAACACATCGGTGCAGAGATCCAAGAAGCTGGACGAACCCTAACAAAGGGGAGCACGGAGTCACACGGCGGGAGACACAGTGAGGAGGCGGCGCGGCCAGAGCGCTAGCAGAAAAAGCGGTCTACCTAGAATTCTCCACCTAGCACACAGAAAGGAAGACAAAGTAAAGACGGCTGGAGAATCGAGCGTCCGCACACCTGCACTCAGCACCAGCAGCTGGGCACATTCCCGCGGACGGGGCTCAGACCAGGTGCAGAAGGGACCCAGGGACAAGAGGAAAGTGCTCCAGAAACACCGTGCCAGGCAAACGTCGCACACCACCTTCTCTCTCTCTCACTTCCTGGAGCCAGCAGCAGACTAAGCAAATCGGGACGACGACCATGGGGTCTGCTCGCAGGCGGGAGGAACACAAGCGTCACCCACCGGCGCGCCCGCCTCCACAGCCGTACTCACGTGTCACTGGCGCAGACGCGGAAGCAGCTCATCAGCAGCTCAGCTGCTTTTTCCAGCATGTCCCCGACTTTGCTCTTCCCTTTCTTTACCAACTGCTGGTCTGCCTGATAGAACACAAACAGTCACGTTTAATTTCCTCTCGATTCCTGAGTGAAAAAGAAACCGCCGCTGCTGCTAGAACCAAAAATAGCTACAGCTGAGGGTCAGAGTCCCAAGCGGCTCTGGTGAGATCTTCTAGTTGATATTACCGTTGTTAAAAATTGAGAAATCGATAGCGTATCCTGACTCTTACACAAATCAGCTCTCTTCCACCAATTCAAACTAGTAAGTCAGCCTATTCTCTGGGTCTGGGGCACGGAGTCCTGTGCCCCTCCAAAAGCCTTTCCTTACAGGCTCACGCTCTGCCCCCACCTACAGCCAGTCAAAATCCCAAAACACACACTTCCGACAGACACCAAAGTCATCACCAGGTTTGACTCTCCCCTTGTTCCTGGGACCCGTTGGCTCCCGCTCACACCCCCTAACACAGGTTCTCAAAGTACGGTCTACGAACCCCTGGGAGCCTTCAAAACATTTGCACGTGATCCATGCAGTCAAAACTATTTTCATGACAACACCAACAGCCATTACTTGTCTCTTTATTGTACTGTCATTTGCAGTGACAATACGAGCACTGTGGTAGGTGAAAACGTGGGGGCCTCTCCAGCAACACCAAACTGAAGCGGCAACACTATGTCCCTAACATCACCCCGCACAGTCCTGCAGTCAACCACTAACACCAAGTTCACTTCAAACTGTCCCCGACGACACAGTAAATCCTAAGTCTTGGCTCTTGAATATACAAATATTTAACATTCTTTGTGATGAAATGACAGTATGGTTTTCTCCAGGAAAAGCACTTGGGAAGCTGCTGCAGTTGCCAGCTAGCATGCAGGACCAGCGACTGACAAGACGAGCAAGGCGGTCCAGGTGAGGGTATCTGAAGGACCGTTTGCTCGAAAGTGAAACACAACCCGTCAACTCCAAGCAAACACCTGACATATTTGTGGCCAATGACATCTGTGCTTTCAAAAAAAAAAAAAAAAAATCAGAATTTTGGGTAACTTGTTATCAACCACCATGAACGTGGCAGCATTTCATTACTCCAAAACTTTTCAGGTAAGGTCACTGGAGACATTAACAAATGGGAGTTTTTTTGGTTTGGGGTTTTTTTTTACACAATGAAACACGTCCACATTTGGAATACCTCTGTAACTCGGTGAACCAAAATGTCTGATGCTACAAGATCACACGAGAGCACACAGTCCATCCAGAGACCAGGACACACCAGCGGATTCCAATACAACAGCAAAAATGCTCAATGCTAAGCTTCGGAGGACACACCGTAACTAACCCTTAACAGCTACCTCTTGGAGCTTTTTGCTATAGAGGAAAAAGAGTATCCACAATTATTTGAAATGCTATTAAAATACTCCTCTCCTTTCCATCTACACCTGTGTGAGGCCAGACCATCTTCATATATTCAAGCAGCAGCACTGTGCCTGCAGAAGGACATGGGGTCAGGCGGCTTCTGTAAGATTAAAATGTAAAAATCCAGCACTCTTCTCAGCACATTTTGTTCATTTGGAAAATATAGTTATTTTTCACTTAAAATGTCACTTATGTGACCACATAAAAAACTTGTTATTTTAGATGAATTTTTTAAATCCCAGTTAAAAATTTTTAATACGGTAAATACAAATAGATATATAAACAAAGCTCTTTGGAGCCTAATTTGCATTTAAGTTATATTTTTCGGTTCTAGAAATTTCCATCAGTTCTTCTTTACATCTCCTATTTCTTTGCTGAGACCATCTATGTTTTCGTTTGTTTCAAGCGTGTTCGTGACTTTCCCTGAGACTTATTTAGGATGGCCAGGGTGTGAGCAAGTCAGGGAATTCCAACATCTGGTGTTTGTGGATCGTCTCTCTTCACGGGCTGAGATTCTCCGTTAAGTGATATTTGGGGTATGAGGTCACGTGGATCCTGTTTATCTTGCATCAGCAGCGGATGCTATGCTGGTGGGGAGCTGCCACCGGCTTGTCTGGGTCCGACTCCCCGAGGGCTTTGCTGAAGGGCTGGGGACCGGCACAGTTTGGGGGACTGCGGCAGGGATTGCTGAAGAAGTCTGTCCAGAACCTCCCTCCTGCTCTCCTTGGGGCTTCTTCATCTCCACCTGTCGGCCTTCCTGTATCTGAGGCTCCTCTGGGACCCAGTCCAGGATAGGAAGCAAGAAGCAAATGCAGGAGACCCACCACTTGCTGGTCTGCAAGCCGTGCTGGCTTCAGAATTCTCAGCAGGGTGGAAAGGAAAACTGTACCTACTCCATCTTGTTCAGAATGGGAAGTTATAATTTTTAAAACCATAAAGGTGTGTTAGTTCAGAACTGCTGCTACAAAACTGCCTTATGCTGACCCCAAAGGGCAAACCGACCTCCTCACACCAGAGAGAAACCCCTAGCTGCTGCCTGCATCAACATTAGGGTGGGATTCTTCAAGACAGGGGACAGCCACATCTTAACAGTACAGGAGAACGTAGAACTGCTCGTGTTACTGCCCCGCCCCTTTAAAAAAATTTGCCACCTGCCATAACTGGTTGACACGCACACAAAAACTCCCTCTACACCCACGTTGGGGAGTGAAAACCCACCAACCCAGTTAGTCCAGCTACCTCCTGCCCTTTTGCTCTCTACACCAGGTACATGCTAACCCACATCCTAACCCTCAAAACTTTTGGAAGAATGACATGAAATTAAGCAAAAGATAGAAACTGAGTTTGAGTTTTAAAAGAACAGTGACAAGAACTAAACTTACGTTATTGGCAAATATCCGAAGGTCAAGTGCTACAGCATACATAACAGGCAGAGCCCTGCAGGGCAGAAAAGCAAGTACATTGGAAGAGGCCATGAGGTCCAAGATTCCGTTCCCGATACCCAGAGCTACCTCCATCCACGGGGGCCACCACCCCTCCAGGAACCTGGAGGCTCCTGCCGCCTTCCTCATCCCCCATCAGGGCAGGCTGCGGTGCCGCGGCTTCCTGACCAGCAAAGATACTGAAGTGTTCCTCACCCACTGCCCCAGACCCTCCCCAGAAGCCCAGATCCTGGTGCGTTCAGGGTCCTCAGCCCCAGACGGCACCTCCTCACACTATTCAGGACCTTCTCCTTCCCTTCAACCACTCTCCAAACAGCTCCATTAAAGCAAGATGTGGTTTAGTAAGACCTTCTAACAGGACCCAGAAAAAGTAATAGACACAATGTCATAAAAGGGTTTTTTTTTTTAATTTAGCTGGTGGAAATGCTTTTATGTGCAAGACAAATCTTCACTTAAAGAGGGTATTTGACTTTGTTTTTTTTGGTAAAAGGTATTTGCAAGCCTTCAGTTATTTTAGGAAACACAAAATTTCAGTATTTACCTACAGTTAACAAATCATAAAATAAGAATCAGTTTGTCAAGGAACTTAAAATAACCCAACTACCACGTAGTCACTCCACGTGAACTGCAGCTGATCTGCCCTTTTATCCAAGTTAAAATCAAAAGTCAGTTCAGCATTGACAATTGACAAACATTTTGGGGTATGGAAGGTCTGAAATAAAAACAAGGCTTTATATTCATGTGAACATACTGCAAACAATCTGGCTGGTCCGCCACTTAAAGTTTACACTGACCATTAAAACTCCACTATCCGCATTGATATTATCCTATGTCGACACATGACATTAAATATCCACATAGAAAACACAACACATATTTACTTAAAGTTTTAAAAAGCTTCTGCTAAGGGTGCCTGGGTGGCTCAGATGGTTAAGCGTCTGCCTTCGGCTCAGGTCATGATCCCGGGGTCCTGGGATCGAGTGCCGCATCAGGCTCCCTGCTCCTTGGGAGCCTGCTTCTCTCTCTCTCTCTCTCTCTCTCTCCCTCTCTCCCTCTCTCTCCCTCTCTCTCTCCCTCTGTCTCTCATGAATAAATAAATAAAATATAAAAAAAAAGAATTAAAAAAAAAAGTTTCCGCTAAAAAAAAAAAAAAAACCCCAAAAACTAAACCCCGCCATTTGCCAGTTGCCAGTTATTTCTGTTCATACTTACCAGTTTTCTTCTTTGTGGGCTTGAAATGCACGCAGGAATGATGTACTATATTAAGGAACAACGTACAAAATCTAAGGCAATGCTACAAGTGATAAGAAGAATTATGAAGGATTCTGAATTTTAGGTTTAGAAGATTATATATCATAGGGGCAAGTTCTGGAAGGAAAAATGTACAAGTTACAAATATCTGAATATCATTAGGTATTAGTACAGTAAATATGTTTGCTTTACACATACATTCTCCAAAGTAATAGACTATTGTAAGATTTTCTTAATTGGGAACTTCAAACATTTTATTTGGTTTTTCTGAACCCAGATAATCACATATGTAATAGGCTTTAGAATCTGTAGTATAAAGTTTATTTCCTTGATTACAGAATTCTTAAATTCAAGGGAGACTAAACTAGTTAGTAGCCAACTTTCTCCTTTGTATACTTAAATAAGAACGTTAAAAAATAAGCAAACTAAAAATCCAGAGTTACACATAAATACTAAAACACTCCTCCTATAGCTGAGGAGGCCTCAGCTATAGGACATAGCACTTAGATGACTTAAATCAGACACTGGCTGGCTGAAGGTCTGTGACCACGCTTCAGTGACAATATGTGGAGTCCACTCTTGTCCGTCTATGCCTGGAATCTGGCGCATTCTCATATTTTGCCAAAGGGACTAACTAGTCCCTGTAGCTATACTTAATGCTTTAAAGGAAATACCACCGCTCACAATAGAATTAAGTAAAACCCTTAACCGTCACCCGTGTTCTTCCTCATTGTACGGGTAACTGGACGACAGTCTTAAGGCCCAGGATACATTTAAGCACCTGAATGAAATAGCTAAATGAGTTTCTCTTCCTAAAGTTAGTTTCAATTCTTTTCTAGTTAAAGGTATGAAGGAAAGCGGCCTGATGTCTCCAGATCTTAAACCATAACACAAACGACAAAGATATTGGACGATGACGGTCTGGCATTTGTACGCCTCGATGAAGTCGTGGTTCCCCACCGCGTAAGTGCATCTGTGAAGGAAACATCACAGGCTGAGGACACAGGCAGCAGGACCTGCAGTCGAGCCCCACACGCCCCATGCCTCACTTCCATCCAGAACGCCCGAGCGCACCACTTATCCTGCTAAGGCTACAGGAACTAGAAGGAGGACAAGAAACACACGGGTGACTCTGAACTGAAACAGGCTGGGGGGAGAGGAAACCCACATGCCGCTCTGGGACACTGCTCTCTGGCCTCAGGAGGAGACCCTACTTGCAGCAGGTTCTCAGTGCCAGGCACTGGTCACGGCTGACCACGGCCCTCCCGCTGCACCTACGGAGAGGAGATGGCAGGGAGCCTCACGCTACCAGGAGCCCAGTGGCACCCCGACTTCTCCAGAGAAGGAAGCCCTGGAGGGGCACAGGCAGGAGGGCGAGCCAACGCCTCGTGCTTCGGGACATCCAGCTTTGCCCGGCCCCGCCCTCCAATAGGGAAAACAGCAGACATGAGATGTCCCTGAAGAGCAAGTCTTTCATGTGCTTTCTGCAGCTCTAGCCCCGTTGCCGGCAAGGCGAAGAGGTGAAGCACAGGCCTATTTCCACAGAAACAGAAGGCAGCCATGCGCCCCCTCAACACACAACTGCTACGTAGCCAACGTGAGGAGTGCCTGTACCACAGTTCACCGTAACTTTTAAAAGCATACGTGATCTTTCAAATGAAAAAACGTTTATTAAAAATTCAAAGCATTTCAGGGGCGTCTGGGTGGCTCAGTCGGCTGAGCGTCAGCCTTCAGCTCAGGTCATGATCCCAAGGTTCCCCCCACCGCCCCGCTCTGTGGGAAGCCTGCTTCTCCCTCTGCCCCCCCCCACTGCTTGTGCTATCAAATAAATAAATCTTTAAAGAAAATTTAAAGGATTTTAAGCTTCAGAAAATTTTCATAGGCTTTAACAAATTGAAATTACAAATGCGCTTTTCTTAAAACAAGATGACGTCAGAGAGGGAGATAAACTGTAAGAGACTCTTAATCACAGGAAACAGACTGAGGGTTGCTGGAGGGGAGGTGGGGGGCATGAAGGAGGGCCCGTGAGGTGACGAGTACTGGGTGTTATATGCAACTGACGAATCACTGAACTCTACCTCTGAAAACTAATAATATAGTATATGTTAATTAAATTGAATTTAAATAAAAAAAGTACCAAAAAACCCTCCAAAAAACAAATGCACTTTTCTTTTCAAAGCAAATTATCCATCGTTTCAAGTCTAAGATGATGTGTTTTTTAAAAGATTTATTTATTTTATTTATTTTAGAGAGAAAGAAAAAGTGTATGCATGTGAGTGGGGGGAGGGGCAGAAAGGGAGGGAGCAGACTCCCCACTGAGGGCAGAGCCTGCCTTGGGGCTTGATCTCATGACCTGAGCCAAAACCAAGAGTCAGAGGCTCAAATGAATGCGCCACCCAGGCGCCTCTCGAGCCTAAGATGATGTTAAATAAAATCCGTAGTCAATTCAGCAATTTCCAGATTTGCTTTATTTTTCTTCCTCCCCAGGGGGTTACCTTAAATGAGCAGCAAACATTTCGTCATAAGGGGGTTCCAAAACCTGCTGACACTTCTCTTCTGGGGAGGCCATCTAAATGATAAGAGGAAAATGACAAAAATAAAATTAAAAGGCAGCAAAAGAATGCAATGTGCAGAAAGAGACTGAGACGAACCTGTTTCAAAAGAATGCACAGTTTACAGTTGGGGGAAGGGTGAGCACCTGGCACTTGTGATCTCACACATACGTGTCGTGGCCGGTGACAGGGTGACAGGGCACCAAACACACCTGCTCTGCCTACCGCAGTCCAAGGAATACTCAGGGCACTTTCATGTAGACCTGAGTATTTAGCAGCCAGTCAGTGGAGAAGTGTTTATGAAGCAGCTACTGTGTGCTCCGTAAGGAACGCGGTGTGAGTGAGAGGTGATGCCACGTTAGGAACCCCCCTCTTCACCTCCTGGTGACAGAGCCACCTGCTCTATGTCCTGGGCTAGGCTAGCCGACATTTATTTCCAATGCCCTCTTCCCTCCCCATGGCCAAATTTTAGACCATACGAGAGCCACGGGGGTCACACAGAACCGAGAATTAGAGAAGTCTGTGAGTCCCTGATGCACTAATACGTATGCATATCCATGTGCGTAAGCGTGGGAAGGAAAAGGGCAGCAGCAGGAACATCCCCATCCGCCGTCCCTGGTGAAATATCTAAGACAATGGCCACCCGCGAGTGGAACGCCACCTCAGAAGGTCAATGGGGACTGGCCTTGGATCACAGAGGGATGACAGATCCACCCGCGGTGGTACAACGGCAGGCACACGCCACCAGCTGAGGGGTGTCTGGCCAGCGAGCCTCTTAGAGCAATGGTTTTCAACACTGTCACACAGGACAGCCACCCAGGGAACCCTAAATTTTAAAAAGAGCCTGCTTCTACTCCACTAACTGGTTTATTTGGTCTGAGGTGCAGCCTGTACACTGCCCAGTATGGTATCCAATATACAGAGCTCCTATTTCTTTCAAAAGAAAAACTGCCCCAACAGGACCATATTCCAATATCACAAAGGGAACCAATGAGCAAATGGGACTTCCCCAAATGCCAAGAATACTTCCTATAGAAGACAGGGCTTGCATATCATTTATCTGCTAAATCAAGGACACTTATAGTTTAGAGCAGGGTTTGGCAAATGCTTTCCATAAAAGGCCAGATGGTAAACACCCCTGCCTTTGTAGGCTATAGATCTCCGTTGACCTAGCCAGCTATGCATCCGTGGCACGGACAGCACAGGAATGAGCAGACATGGCTCAGCCCCACTAAGCTTTACTTATAACAGGACACGTTTGTGGGCTTTGGGGACAGACCAGCCTGGGCACAGCCTAGCCCACTGCCTGTCTGCTGGATGACCCTGGACGACCTTGCTCCACACTGCATGTCTCTGGGGCTCAGAGGGTCACTTGGGAGTTATTACAGAGCATAAGACGCACACCTCAGCCTGGTATCAAACACACCGTGCTCAATAAATGAACTACAATTACAGACGTACAGTAAATGAATGTTAAAATTTTCAAAAATTTTCAAAAGAGCAGCAATATTAGTTTCCATCTGACTCAAACCCTCAGCTTCTCCTTAGGGAGCACCTGCGGGTGCGGCTCCTTCGCCCACCTGGAGCCGTGGGTTGGCGACATGAGGATGCTTGAAAGACACCAGCTCCGCACAGGATGCCCCATCTCTGCTGTCGATGGCTTCATAGACCTGAAACATTTGAAAAGAGATAAGCGGACTAGAAAACAAACCGTTTTGTCCTCACAGAACCTAAACAACATGTCGTACGCCTTGAAAATCCATCCTCCTGATTCTGGAGGAGCCACAACAATGACAGAACACGCCGGGCTCTCGGCAGCAGCAAACAAGAGGAACGTTTCAAAATGAGATCTTTCGGCAGCAAAGAAACAGGTGATTTACTGTCAGAAACAGCAAACAAGCAGGGTAAGCCAGTGGTGATTAAGGAAGGCACATTATTTTAGTTTTACTCGGTCGTTCAGACACTTGAGAATTCACTTATAAAGCTTATGGGGAAAAAAAGAGTTTAAAAGCCACATTCCACTCAACCTGCCCATCAACTGAAACAGGGAACGGCAAAGCTAAACAGATGGTGCCACGAGCAGGAAGTAGATCATTCCAGCGGTGATGATGTGCCGGTGTCCACAATGTGCTTACTGTTAAGCAAAAACAAACACACATGCAAAACCCAAAACAAAACAAAAAGACAAACCCAAAGTCACAGGAAAGTGCCTAACTCAATCTGGAAGGAAAAGAAAAACTGCGTATGACATGGGAGCACAGGAAGAAGTGCCTGCCCCTGGGCCCTTGGGGTGCAGGCTGGGCGTTCAGGAGGCTTTTACAGATTTCCGTCCTGGAGGCCTGTGCTGCGGCAGACCTCTGTAACTAGAAAACCAAATGAGGTTTGAAGATTTACCAAACAAGCACTTAGAAATCTGAACGGGCAGAGGAAAACAAACACAGAGAAAGTTGCACACACAGCATGATTCATCTACAGTGGGATTAGCTGTCAATTTTATGCCCACATGAGACTCCAGTCAGGGACGACATGAAGAAGGTGCAGACCGCACACCTGCGGCAGGCGCTCACGTCACTTCCCAGTCACGAGATGCACCCCCAGAAGCGGTAGGCGTGGCAGGAGAGGCCGGACTAGCCACGACCAACAACAGAAAGCGACTGGAGCTCCCCCACATTGCAGGTGAGAAGTGGCTGGATCAGCCTGCGAGGGAGGGCACGCACCTGCTCTCCCCCCAGTGCAGTAACCCTACACCCAGGCAAAACGGATCCAGCTCCTGGACTCTTGTACCCCTTAGGGCATCGGCTGGGAAAGTTTACACCATCTCACCTAAGACAACTGACGTGATCAAGAATCTGGCACTCAACTGCCCAACAAAACTACAGAAGCCAGCAATCCCATGTCTACGGTCTACCTTACAACAAGAAACAAAAGATATTTGTGTAGGGTTGTGTGAGGTATTATGAATAATCACAAAGTACTGGTCCCATCGGTGCCCTTACCTCAAGGAAGCTGATAAAGGCCGCCAAAACTGTCACAGCAGGCGCCAAGGAAAAGAGACAACAGACCACGGACAAATCTCAAAGAACTGATACACAGCTCAGGGGACACTAGGGCCACAGCCACCTGGTCACCTGTTTTAGTGGCTGTTAGTACGCCGTGGCCTTCCCATGTAAGCAGCCCCCAGTGGACCATGTGGGGGGACTCCAGGGGAGCCCGGTGGCAACATCCCCGCGGTGTCCCCGGGGCCTGGTCCACAGACTGCAGACCTCATCAGGCGCAGCTGGCTCTCGGCACACCCAGGAAAAAGTTCTCTTTCCTGGCTACTGCTGGTCACCTCGTGACCTCCTGGCTCTAAGGCGGTAGATGGAGGTTGCAGGGAGGGGGGAATTCATCTACTCTTAGAACTTGTAATTTTTTTTTTTTAAGTCATCTCTACACCCAACGTGGGGCTTGAACTCACAACCTCGAGATCAAGAGTTGCACACTCCGCCAACTGAGCCAGCCAGGTGCCCCCAGAACATGTAATTTCTTAAAAATACAAGGGCACCTGGGTGGCTCAGCTGGTGGAGCGTCTACCTTCGGCTCAGGTCATGATCTCAGGGTCCTGGGATGGAACCCCGCATCGGGCTCCCTGCCCAGTGGGGGAGTCTGCTTCTCCCTCTCCCTCTGCCCCCCCGCCCAGCTCGTGTCGCGCTCTGTCAAATAAAATCTTTTTTAAAAATGTTTAAAAAAATACATTTACTAGCTCCATCTGCTAACAAGGCCTTGAAGTAATGACTCCCCCTACCCCCTGCAGTGGCAATGAACACACCCAGCACTCAGATTCATTTCCCAAACTCCGCCACCACTAAGAAGAACTAGAGCTCCCTGGAGAAAGGTCTGGTCCGGCGCTGGGATAGGGAAAGAAGTCCGTGAGCTTGGCATGGACATTACTGTGCCAGAAAGCAAAGCAGATCTCAAGGAAGACATATCAAAAAGCCCCAGAAACCAGTCTGAAGGAGCTCGTAGTGGCCCAATCTGGGACAAGTTGAGCTTCAGAAAGAATAAGAATAATCTTATTATTGGTTCTGGATTATAACTTGGCATTAACAACAATCTATGATACTCTTTAAAAAGGAGCACAGGGAAAAGCATTTTTAACAGATGAAGTAGTAGCTGACAAACATCGAGTGAGAGAATCACCACTTGGCAAACACTCATGCAATAACCCACTTGGGAAAAGATCACGAATAAAAGCTGAAAGCACTTTGGAAAGGGTGTGGGGTGGAATGTTCACAGGCTCACAGTCCACCCAACAGATTATGAATCAATACGATGGGAAAAGGCCTCTGGACGCCAGAGCGGGCAGTTGAGAGCACAAATGCAAGCCTCCAGAGGCTACAGAACGTCTACACCAGCCAGGTTCGCCCAAACCTATTCACTAGAGTCAAGTAAAGGCAAACGGTGACACAGCCATGAGTCCACTGCCCTGGACATTTTTAAAAAGTTAATTGTCATAAAACAAATCCACTCCCAGAAACTGGCAAGAGAACTCTTCTAGATGAAAGACTAAAGAGCAAGACGACCATGTTTGGAGTGTGATCTGACTGGACCCTGCAGGTAACAAGGAGGCTCCAAACAGCACCATGGGTGGATGTAGAGTCTGAATGCGCTAGCAGAAAACACTGACGCTACATTTCTCGGCTGTGCTAAACATGATGTTCTGCAGCCAGATGGCAGAACAACCTCAGGCCCATGGGAAGGGCCTCGGTGGCAGCAACCTCCTTTCAAATGGTTCAGGGGAGAGAAGCACGCGTGCCCAGAGGGAAGGACACAGAAACGTGGTGCACCAGGTGAGGGTGTCCACATCTTCAATGTTCTCCTTTCAGCTTTTCTGTAGGTTTGAAAAATTTCACAATAAAAATTTGGAGGAAAATTACAATTTTAAATGTAGGTAGTTTTTAAAAACTAACTTGCCATTTGAAATAAGAATTTGTAGAATGGACAGAAGAATGAAGTAAAGGACACCAAACAAAGAATACCAGCCCTCAAAGAAACTCCAGTAATATGGAGCAGCTCCAGCTGTGGGGAGAAGCACAGCTGACCCCTGACTAGCAGGTCTGACCTAGACTTTTTACAACAGAGCGCTACAAATGCATTTTCTCCTCCTTGCAATTTTCTTAACAACGTTTCCTTTTCTCTAGCTAACTCGGTAGTGAGAACATAATATAGAACACAACACAAAAAACAAGCTGATTCACTGTTTATGTTATTGGTCAACGGTACGCTATCGGTTAAGCTTTTGGTAAGCCAAAAGTTATATGTGTATTTTCAACTGCATGGGAGGGGTCAGCGCCCCTAACCCCCACATTGTTCAAGGGTCAACTGTACATGCAAACTGATCTTGTTCTAAATACAATTCTTTTTAAAGGATTTTTGTATGTTATTTTTTTTTTAAAGATTTTATTTATTTATTTGAGAGAGAGAGAATGAGAGATAAGAGAGCACGAGAGGGAAGAGGGTCAGAGGAAGAAGCAGGCTCCCTGCTCAGCAGGGAGCCCGATGCAGGACTCGATCCCAGGACTCCAGGATCATGACCTGAGCCGAAGGCAGTCGCTTAACCAACTGAGCCACCCAGGCACCCTCTAAATACAATTTTTAAAAGTAGAATACTTGGGAAACCGTTAAGGTAAATTAACTCAACCTGTCCTCTCCAAACAGAAATGAATCTGGAGGCACGTTGAGGTGCTGAACGCTAACATCCCAGCTACCGCCAACCATTAGAAGGACAGCCCTCCTTGGGCCTCTCAAACTGATGTGCTGGCCCCACAAGGCCCTGACCACTAGCTCCTTCACTTGGGCCACTGTTCAGGGCTGTTTATAACTTTGAGAAACAAAGCAATGTCTTCCCCCCTTCCCTAACCCCAGGCAAAAAGCAGGCTTGCTCACCGCCTGCTACAAAATGGATGGATTCCCCAAATTCCAGGTTTCTCTCTTGGATGCAGGTACAGGCACCCTTCTGGGCCCACTGGTCCAAGGGAACCGGCAGGCTGACTCCACATTGCCAGCTGCGCTGAGCTGAGCTACAAGACCCTTGGTCTCTGACCCACGAATGCATGTGTTCTGCCTGCATCCAAGAAACCAACAAGAGAACTCAGAAACTCATGAACAGAATAAAACCAAACTGCCAACCTGATAGCTACTAGGAAGTGATCACAAAGAAGGGAAACGAAAGACCTATGACTTGTCCACAGGTAGCTGCTGGCCGAAGATGCTGTGAAGTATGAAATACGGAATGTGTCCTAACTGAGAAGGTCACCGAGATTCAAAAAACAGTACACTTTGGAACCTGAGAAATAGGTAGGTTCTGACTAGGACAGGAAATGGTGGCTGGAACCTAGGCTAACAGAGGCAGTGAGCTTCGTGTTAAGGGCACGGACTCTAAGGCCAGAACTCCTGGTCCGAATGTGCTACTAACTAGCCCAGGGACCTTGGAAAACCACTGAACCTTCTCTGTAAAATGGGGCTTGCAATGGACCCACCTCCCAGGACAAGTGGTAGTAACAAGCCACTGTACATGACAGTGGTTGGTTCTTAGTAAGAGTTCAACAAGCACTAGTGGTTATTCCTCCCATCACCCCAACTACTTCATCACATAAGACTCCTCTGAGAACGTAGATGATGAGGGAGCAGAAGGCAAGCTGAAGACAAAGCAGAAGCTGACACCCCACAACCCCCCAACCCCCATGGGATATACCTGACATTCCTCAGGCACTCCTGGCTGCCCTAAAGGAAAAACAAATAGTTAACTTATAGAGATTACAATCCTGTTTCCTGCAGAAGAGATCTAACTGACAGATCTCCTGAAGCCATGCAGTGTTACAGATCAGTCCTTTCCTAAATTTTGCAATCCAAATCGTTTCCAATGGGTTAAAAAGGCATCCTAAGGGAGAGTCCTTGGGAAGGGAAGAAGCCTACTGAGGCCCTGTTCTCAGAAAAGTAAAGGTCCATTACCAAATCCCCCCCGACTCCTGGGTGGCGTCCCACGCAGGACAGGTCAGAGGTTCCAGGTGTCAAAAGCGACCAGAGGCGTCCCTCAAATGAGAAACCGCTTTTGATCACCATCCTGCCTTCCCCTGAAGGCATTCCTGCCATAAAAGGCCCCATAGGATGGATGCCAGTGGGATGCCGATTTCCCCTTCCCCATATCCTAGGCTACAGATGGGTGCTATCGAATGGACTAAAATACCCATGCCATGCAGTCCTAAGCCCTGAAAGCTGTGTTATCACCATGCCACTTTTTTTTTTTCACCCTGCCACTTTTAACCCATGGAAAATACTAGGAAAGTTTTACAAGGGGAAATTACCCAATTTTATAATTTAAGTAGTTAGTAGAGGACATTGATTAAAAACTGTAAAGACTGAAATCCATTATGGTCTAAGTGACATTCCAACACATGTGGTCTTTACAGCCAACTTCCCTAGGAAGTTGGGTTTTAATTCCATTGGGTACTGGTTTCGGCCGGCTCTGAGTGGAGGTCCCACGGCCAGAAGCGGCTAGACCAGGGATGTGGAAGGGATCACCTTAGATCAATGAGGAGGAAATCTGGGGGCGCCTGGGCGGCTCAGTCGTTAAGCGTCTGCCTTCGGCTCAGGTCATCATCTCAGGTCCTGGGACAGAGCCCTGCATCGGGGGGGGTCCCTGCTCAGCGGGAAGCCTGCTTCTCCCTCTCACACTCGCCTTGCTTGTGTTCCCTCTCTCGCTGTCCCTCTCTCTGTCAAGTAAATAAATAAAATCTTTAAAAAAAAAAAAAAAGGAGGGGAGGAAACCTCACACAGGAGTCTTAAGACTGGCAGCCGTCCTGGTGACTTGGGTGGCTGTCCCAAGCCCAAGACAGACAACTTCGTATAAGGACAGAAATAAAGAGAGGGCTTCAAGTTTCTGGTCTTATTACCATCCCAGCCAGGGTACTAACTTCACCCAAAAAGCAGACTTTCTCCTCCCCGTAGAGTAGCCACAGGCTAGAAGAATGCAGCTTGAGCAATCAACATGAAAGTGTTCCAATAAGACCACACTCCTTGAAGCCCCTGGAATGAGAGTAAAGGAAGAGAAGAGAAAGTACTCACCAAGTTTGCACCGTGGCTCAGAGTCCAGATGAAAACACTCGGAAGCCCCACGTTTGGACACCAAACGATGGGGTTTTGGAGTACAGGTGAGGTTTGGTGGGGTAAGGTCTGGAGCCGACGACCAAGAAAGAATTCTTGAGACATCTCTGGTGCAAAATGGTGGTTTTAGTAAAACACGGGGACAGGACCCATGGGCAGAGAAAGATGCTGCCTAAAGAGTTGTGAAGGGTGGCTGATTATATACTTGGGAGTTGGGGGGGTAAGGAAAAGGGAGGTTCCAAAAGGATTTTTTATGTTAAAAAAGACTCACAGGATACCGGAGGCCTTGCCATTGTCAAGTTAAGGTTGTTTTTCCCTCTAGCAAGGCATTAACATGAAGACAGTTGGGAGCTTCCCGGAGGAACATTACACTCTGCCGCTTCAAGGATCTGTCAACGGGCTGCAGGTTATAAGGGCATTTGACTGTATCTACATTCCCTTCTGGAAGCTAGGTTATTGATAGGAAAGCTTTGTTCTTATAAATCGCTAAGACATTTGTAAACTGATGGAGACTCATGACTTGCAGAATTATAATCTCTATAAATTAACTACTTGTTTTTCCTTTAGGGCAGCCAGGAGTGCCTGAGGAATGTCAGGTATATCCCATGGGGGGGGGTTGTGGGGTGTCAGCGTCTGCCTGTCCTCAGCTGGCCTTCTGCTCCCTCATCACCAATCATGCCAGACTATCTCCAAACTGCCTCCTAAAGATCTTTACCTGATTGTCAACACACACCCCCAACTCAACATGTCCAAAACGGAGTCTGTAAACTTTCCCTCCAAATTTGCTCTGCTCATCTGTTGCCCTGGCTAGAAACCTGGGGCTCATTCTCCTCCCAGACCCTCAACCATACATTCTTAATCACCGATGGAATGCTTCCTCCAGACATTTTAAAAATCCACTCCCTCTTTTCCCGATCAGCACGGTTCTAGTTCTGGGAATTAGCATAGTTTAGTGACAAGAACGCCAGTTTTGAATCCATAAACTCCCATGTTTTAAGTATGGCTCTGGCGTTTATAGGCTGTACGGACAGAATTCCCGTGGAGACGCATCTGCCGAAGGCTATAAACTGCCAGAAGCGAACACGAGCCGTGCCCCAAGTGACGGCTGGACTAGCGCTCGCAGCCGGACCACCTGCTGCCTCCACCTCCTCCCAGCGTCTGTCCCGAGTCAGCGGCTGAGCCCCCGCCACGGAGCGCGGCTGACAGGCCTCCCAGGTCCGCCCGGACCCCTCCGCACGTCCCTCTCTTGAATCCAACGCCCATCGGCGCACCCCCGGATCCGGGGGCAACACTGTCGGGGCGCCTGCTCAACCGTCCTCGCTTTCCTTCTGGCGGCCAAGAACTCGGGCACTGTGGGCGAACCGATTCGCCCCGGCCCACACGTTCTCGCCAGCGCCGCCGGGCTCCCGCTCCAGACCCCACTGAGTGCGCGCGTTACCTGCTGCAGGTACTGGTTGATGGTGATGTGCGCCATAGCCGTTCCCTCCGACGGAAGTGGGCGGGGCCTGCGCGCCCGGCCGCAGCCGCTTCACTTCCGGCCCACAGTCCGTCCCGGCCCGCGCGCCCCCCCGCCTCGCCTTCCCCGCACGCTGGTTCCGGAGGGAAAGAGTCCGCCGGAGCGTGCGCCCCGGGCCCGCATGGCGGCGCGCCCAGGCTGAGAAAGGCTGGTGTCTGCGCTACTATTCGCCGCCGTCCCTCGGCGAGGACGCCTCATTCGTGCCACTTGGGTGCTCGGGCTCGCCCGGGGCACGCTGGGCCCCCCGGGGCTGACCGGGCTTGCGCACCGCCGCCCCCCCTCGACCGTTGCAAGTTCCACACGGAGCGCGGCGGCCGCACAGCGGCCCGGGGCGGGGTCGGGGTCAGGCCGGGGTCGGGGTCGCGCCGGGCCGGCGGGGCGGCGGTTGGGCGACCGGGGCGGCGCTGACGCGAGGCCCGCCCGCCCGCGCGGCCGGGGAGGCGGGACGGGGCGGGGCGCCCGCTGCTTCCCGGCCGCAGCCATGGCCGACGAGACCCCCAGGAAAGGCGCCCTGTCGGCGCTCGTCGGGCACACCAACGGCCTCACCAAACCCGCGTCCCTCGCCGCGGCCGCCGTCTCCTCCAAGCCGGGCGGGGGCAGCGGCGGCGGCGGCTCCAAGAAACTAGTGATCAAGAATTTCCGAGGTGGGTGCGGGGCGGGCGGCCGGGGCGGGGTCCGCGCCCCAGCCGCCGGAAGTGCCCGTCCTGGGGGCGGCGGGGAGCCAAGGTCCCGGGGAGCGGTGGGGAGCGGGGGTCTCGGGGAGGGGGGGGTCCCCGGACGCCGGAAGTGCCTGTCCGGGGCAGCGGGGCTCCCGGTAGCGGGGATCCCGGGCCGCCGGAAGTGCCCGTCCCGGGGAGCGGCGGGGAGCAGGGGTCCCGGGAGCGGGGATTCCCGACCACCGGAGGTGCCGGGGCCCGGGGAGCGGGGGGGGGGTCCCCGGCCGCCGGAAGTGCCGGTCCCGGGGAGCGGCGGGGAGCGGGGGGTCCCCGGCCGCCGGAAGTGCCGGGCCGGGGGGGCAGCAGTGGGGGGTCCTCGGGCCCGCGCGGGGGTTCTCCTGCCTCCGGAGTCGGTGGGCGGCGGTCAGCGCGGCCGGAGCAGCTCCCGAGCTCGTCGTGCTGTAATGGGGCTTCCTGCACTTTGCACCCGCTGTCCCTGCCCGGCCGTGACTGGTGCCGCCCAGACGTTCGCGAAGGCGGCTTGCTGGGTGAACACAGCTTTGTGCGTGTTTCCCTGCTCTCCATACTAAGCGTATTCAGCGAAACAGAGATGGTTCGGCTGCGGAGTCTGTAACCCAAGACGGCGATAAATATAGTACTTCTCTGGGAAAGCCTCATTTCTGTGTTCCTTACCTATGTGCCTTTTAAGTGCTTTTTGTGGAGTGTTTCTTAAAGTAGGTCTGATTTCGTGGGGATCCTCTTCCTCACTGATGCTATCTGGATCCACAGACAGACCTAAGTTGCCCGATAACTACACTCAGGACACCTGGCAGAAGCTTCACGAGGCAGTGAAAGCCATACAAAGTAGTACCTCCATCAGATACAACCTGGAAGAGCTCTACCAGGTGAGGCTCCGCCCACATGGCGAAAGGTAGACCTTGTCGGGGTTCTCGCTGGGACGTAGAACTTCAGGACTTGAGGGCTGGTCCCTCGTACCACTCACTCACTTGGGTGCCTGGATATAATGTGTGAGTAACAGTTATCCGACTCCGGTGGAGGGTGATACAGACGTGGATTGTGTGGTCCTCGGTATTGTTTCAGAATCGATAATGAAGGATATCCTAAAAATACGAGATTTGCCTCCTACAAGAGCAGTAGGAGTCCTGTGACAACCTGTCCCCCAAGTCATTGAGTGTGTTTGTTTTCTGGTAGTTGTGGGATTTTCATTTTCGGGCTCATGCTACCGGGAAAGATATTTAAAGTTATCTCATTACGGGAGAAAGATACATTTCTAGTAGCCACATGACTCTCATCATTTTCCAAATAATGCAACAAATTCCTATTAAAATTACATTGTGTCATATACGACACTTATTATGGTTTTACTTGTTAACGTAGATTTTCTCTCTTCATTTTGTTTTGTGGTTATTGCAGTTAAGATATGCAAACAGATTTTGTTATGTTTAAAGATGTTCCATTTCGAACATAAATGGTCAAAAGTGAATATTACTTTGCATATTCTGTTTATCAGCAGACTGGCTTTTCCTGACCTTATTTTTTAAGAATAGCATTCGTTAACTAGTCTATCACCTATATTTTAGGTAACAATACGATAACACAATTTCTATGAAGAGACTTGAAGTAAAAATTTTTTGTTTGCCTAAAAGTGTTTATGTTATAAAAATTGTGGAGATTACAAAAAAGTACGAAGGGGAAAATTAAAACCACCTATACTCCCACCATCCAAAGAAGACCACTATTGACAGTTTGATGGACATACATCCCCTCTTTGCGTTAACTTTGTGTGAGTTTATTATGTTTTTTGATCAACTTTTTAAGGTAGAACTTACATATAACATGTACTTCAATAAGTTTTATACTGAGGTATGAACAACCATCACCACAATAAAATATAGAAGTCTGTTCCTCTCCCCTGACCACCGATGTCCTTTCTGTTGGTTCTAGAGTCTCATCAGTGGAACCCATATTCTGCAGTTGTTTGTACCTGGCGTTTTTCGCTCAGGCCTACTGTGTGACAGTAATTTGTTTGTTGCTGGGGAGAATGGGTGCCACCTTTCACCAGGGTAAGGGACATTTGGGTTTCCAGTTAGGGGTTATTATGAATCAAGGTGTTACGAATGTTAACGCCTAAGTCTCATGTGGAAATGTGTTCCATCCCTCTTGGGTAAATATCCAGAAGTAGAGTCTCAGAGTCATAAGGGAAGTGTGTATTTAACTTTTTAGGACATTTTCTGTTTTCAAAATGGCTATACCATTTTCTGTCCGTACCAGCAGTGTGTGAGAGCTCCAGTTTTTCTGTGTTCTTGCTAACACTTGGTATTATCAGATTTTTTTTTTTAATTTTAGCCACTTGAGTGCATGTGTAGTGGTCCTCTGTATTTCCATATGAATTTTAGACTCTGCCAATTTCCACAAAAATGTCTACTAGGATTTTGATTAGGGTTGTGTCAAATTCTCGATCAGTGTGAGGAACATTGATGTCTTGATGGTACCACGCCTACCAACTGATCACAAGGCACAGCTCTGTTTAGTCTTCTTTGATTTTTATTTCTAGTTCCAGTGTATAAGTTTTGTACATCTTCTGTGAAATTTACCCATAAGCATTTGATATTTTTGGTGGTGTTATAAGTGGTAGTATAACTTTTAGTTTCTGGTTTATGCTAGTATGTAGAAGTAGGATTATTTACGTATCGCTCTAGTATGCTCTCTTGCTAACCTCACTTCTAGTAGCTTTTTGTAGATTCCATCAGATTTTCTACATAGACAGTCATGTTGCCTATGAACAGAGATGGTTTCACTTCTTCCTTTCTAATCGGCATGCCTTTTATTTCTTTCTCTTACCTCCGTGCCCTGTTCAGAACCTTCAGAATGATGGTGAGTAGAAGTGGTAAAAGCAGACGCCCTTGTTTGGCGGCTGTTCCTTGTGGGAAGAGCCTTCAGTCTTTTGTCATTGAGTATGGTGTTAGGTGTGGTTTTCTCAAAAATACCCATTGTCAGGTTGAGGGAGCTCCTTTCCTTTCCTAGTTTGCTGAGAAATTACCAGAAGTACCTGTTGGATTTTGATGAATTCTTCTGTGACTGTTGAGATGATCGTACAACTCTTTTTTCAGTTTATTGCATTGATTGACTTTTCAGATGGTAAGACCATCCTGCAGACATCGGATAAATCTGACTTGGTAGTGGTGTATTTTTTATATATATTGTTGGATTTATTTTGCTAATATTTCATTAGTTTTTGCATCTGTGATCACAGAAGATAGTGCTTTGTTTTTTTCTTGTACTATATTTGTCTGCATTTGGTTTCAGAGTTGCAGATATTCCCTCCTTTTCATTTTCTATAATATTTTGTATAGAACTGGTATTTTTTCCTTAAATGTTTGAGAGAATTCCTAGTGAATCATTAACGTCGGTTGTCTTAGTGGGGAGCTTGTAAACTACACATTTCTTTAGTGGCTATAGAACTATTCAGGTCACTCGTGTCTTCAGGGTCACTAATCTTCTGCAACGTCTAATCTGCCAGGACTGCCATCTGGTGAAATTTTTGTCTCGTGCACTGGTTTTCTCTCCAGGTGCTCGGTTTGAATCTTTTCTGTACCTTCCCTGTCGCTATGTAACTTCTAAACACGGGGAATAGACTTAGAAAAGCTGTTTTAGTGTCAGTTCCAGGCCACTTTTGACTGCTTTTTCTCTTCACTAAGGGTTGTGTTTTTCTTCTTTTTTGCATGTCGGGTAATCTTTGACTGTCAGACATTGTGAATTTTCATTAGCGTGATTATTTTTGTATCTCCATAAATATTCTTAGCTTCACTGCAGACCTATTAAATTATTTGGAAGCAGTTTGATCTTTTAGAGTCTTACTATTAAGATTTGCTAGGCAGGACTAGAGCAGTATTTTGTCCAAGGCTAATTGCCCCACGGCTGGGCAAAACCTTCCTGGATGAGTACTCAGTGCCTAGTATTTTGTGATTTTCCACTCTGGCATGTGGAGGGAGGTGCTATTCCAGGTCCCCTCTGGGTACCAGACACTGTTGTCTCTAAACTTGACAGTTTCCTCACACAGAGGTCCTGGTCAGTGCTCTGCTGAATCCTCGAGGGAGACATTTGAGGTCTCCTGGCTCATCTCCAAGCTCCTCTCTGGCCGGATCTCTTCCCTCTGGGCCTTCGTCTTGGAGACTGAAGCCTCAGCTCACGGCCCCTGCTCTGCAGCCTGGAAACAGGGATGTAGGAAGTCAGAGCGTTGGGTCTTGTTTCCCACCTCCCAGAGATGACTGTCTGTCATAGGCCGATGTGCCATGCTTTGAAAACTGGTGTTTCATTTTTGTTTTGTTTTGTTTGAGAGAGAGGGCAGGGTGGTGGCGGAATGGGGCAAAGGGAGAGGGAGGTAGAGAATCTTAAGCAAAGCAGACTTCACGCCCAGCACAGAGACCAACACTGGGCTCGATCTCACAACCCTGAGGTCATGACCTGAGCTGAAATCAAGAGTTGAACCCTTAACTGACTGAGCCACACAGGTGCCCCTCATATAGTTTGTGTGGTTTTTGGTAAATTCAGGCAGAAGGTAGCCTAGTCTCTTTATTTCATCTTGACCAGAAGTAGGAGTCCCGTCAAATGTCTAAACTCATAGGTTTTTAGTTTAATAAAATATTATACCTTGCAGGTAGGGCTTCTTATTCCTCTTTTCCTGGAGATTTGACTATCTGGTATCGATTACCCATCATTTTTCTTGGTAGAATAATCTTGCCGTACCTTTTACCCAGCAGGATGTGTCGTGATGGTCACCATAGATACTGTAAATGCCCTGGGTGTCCATGTGTATGTCTTGAGACCCTGAGGGCTAGAGGTGCTTACCCCCAAAATGGGATTACACATTCTAGGAGGCACTGCAAGAAAGCCCGCTGGGGATCAGTTGATTGACTTACAAAGAGGCGTGGGCACAGGCAGGCTCCTGGCCACTCACAGAGATGTTCCCCGGGGAGTTCAAGTACAGGGCTATGGAATGAGCTGCTCAGATCTTTTGGAAGCAAATGGGACAGAAATAGTAAGTGACGTCATTGTGTAGTTATTGACCGCTTGTATTATCCTGATCTGTGATAAAGTAGGCAGTGCATTTGACCTGTTGTTTCGAAATAAAGTCTGTTTTTGCTGAGGTGGTGTGGTATATACTTTGCCGAAGAATCTTATGTGAAAGTAACCATTCTTACCAAAGTATGAAAGTTATTTTGGTTTTTTTTTTTTTTGAGGAAATTTTCAGGATATTTTGATGTTGATTAGTTTTCCCAAAGTGGGGTCTCTTACCTCCCCATCAGGGTATCCCTTACCCAGATAGACCCTGTAGGAGGCCTACCTGGAACCCCGTGTGTCTGCTATAGTCTGCCTGTTGTTTCCCTATCTGTTCAGTGAAGAGGGAGGTTCAAAGTGTGGTGGTGGGAAAGTCTTCACAAACATACACATGCACCATCCGCAGTCACTTCCCTCCTACAGTGCTGGGAGGAGAATATTTTGAATGCATAGATCTTTTCAGTCTGTTTTTAAAGACCTGAGTTTAGACCTGTAATTACTACCTGCGGAAGAAAGTTTATCTTGTGTGTCTCCAGTCTATACGTTTTAGTCCTGTTTGTCAGCGTAATGAAACAACAGAAAACTGAAGACTGCATTTTCGAGAAGGGTTTCAGAGAAGAGCTAATGTTGATTTCAGGCAGTTTTGATGCCCAGAAACAGCCGTCATGGGGGACTTGCTGTTCTGAGGAAGGCTGTGCTGTCTGGAGTCGGACTGACGTCTCTGAAATTCTCCTGCCTGGTGATAATTTACTGAAGGAAAATGTGGACTTAGGTATTGAATGCATTAATAGAATGGCTCAAATGGATGAGACAGAGTGAAAAGGACTGGATAGTAGACATATATAAACACATTATTTGATGGACGAATTTGAGAAAGTAACAAATTAACAGTGAACTCAATACATAACTTCTTCAAAAACAGGAGAATCTGCAAACTCAAATCTATTTGGCTTAATAAAAAGGATTTCATAGGGGCGCCTGGGTGGCTGGGTCGTTAAGCGTCTCTGCCTTCAGCTCACGTCATGATCCCAGGGTCCTGGGATCAAGTCCCACATTAGGCTCCCTGCTCAGTGGGAAGCCTGCTTCTCCCTCTCCCTCTGCTGCTCCCCCTGCTTGTGCTCGCACTCTCTCTGTATCAAATAAATTTTAAAAAAAGAAAGGATTTCATAAATCAGTGGTGTCAGCACTCAACAGGGTCAGTCGTTTCTGGAGGTGGCTTACGTCTAACACCTGGGACGGGGAGTTTGCTGTGCAGTCAGAGCTGGTAAATGTGGCCACACTGGTACTGGTTTTCCTGGAAGCCATTGTTCTATGGCACTTCCCTCTCCTAGTTTATCCACTCAGATCTGAGTTCTGATTGAATTTTTACATTCTTTACTCATTTCTTATGGGTAGGAATCTGGTGGCGTAGAGCCCCATCGGTGCCTTCTTCCCAAGTGGTGAGCTCATCACCTTTCAGTGGGCCTGCCGTTGAGTAGGGTCCATCTTCAAGACTGGTTATTGCTTAACGGGGGCCTAACGCTGCCACCTTCCACCCTGAGCCGCGCACATGTGCGCGAGTGTGTGTGTGTGTGTGTGTGTGTGTGAGAAGAGCGATGTGCCGGTCTCTCTGTGAAGTGGGCTCTGAGGTAGGCCCCGGCCAGTGCGCCTTTCTTTATAGGGCTTGGCCCGGAGTGTGATTTTCCCCAGAGCTGGGGGTTAGTTCTCATTTTCCCTTCATCTACATAAATAGTTCTTGGTACCAGCCTGCTTTTCTTTATGATTTCTCACACTGTGGCACCTTTTACTCTTTTGTCTCTCTAATCTTAGCTTTGGCCCTCAAGGCCTTTACGTGAAACATCATCTTCCAGAACCACGTACCCTCATTTCATCGACACTGTGCTTTCTCCCCACCCCACAGCTCACTTTAACACCATGTTGGGTATTCCGCCCCCAGAGGACAAGTGCACTCAGCGCTGAGGGCTTGGCCCTGCAAATAAACAGGCATTTGATGCTGCCATGCTCGGCTGTCCTAACACAGACAACAGCCTGGAGGGCTTGGGTGTGGAGGCCTGACAGACTTAGATTAGAGAGCCGAGCTGTGGGCGGTTCAGACAAGCAGTTTCCACCACGGCTAAGTGGGAGCAAGGAAAACGCCTTTATCCTGACACAGGTGCTGCTTGCCCACCTCTAATCATTGGATTAGTTAAATTCCTCATCTCTGTTAGGACTCTTGAAAATAGGAGTGGTGAGTGGCGAATGTGAAAGGCACCTTCCCCATGCAGGTCAGATTCAGTACTTTATAGTACAGAGAAGGCATTTCTAAATCCCAAAGTACTACTTAAAGCTCGCAAACTTACTTTGGGGCGGGGGGCTTCTATGTGGTGGAGCTCCTGTAACACGGAGAAGTTGGCCAGGGCCCCAAGAGAGCGGGGCCGCCCCTCTGTGTGGTGTTTGTAATATGAAGACGCCGGCAGTGACTCAGCAAAGACTCGGAGAAAGGGCAGCACCCGCAGCAAACCTGGCTCCTCTGGGTTTGCCTGGTGGTTGTAAGAGGCCCCCAAATTCTCAGTTTTAAATACAAAATAAATCTGTGTGCTTCGGGCAAACAGTATGTCCAAATAGGATGAGAAGCAGGGTTCTAAAATCAACAGTGACAGCATGTCACAACCGGGGAAAGATTGCTTTGCGGACATTGACTCCACTTCAGGAATTAGAGCATTCAGAGTGGTTCCTTCAGTGAGATGTTGTTCTATGAAGAACATACTAAGCTTCTCTTGATTTTTACCAAAGAAGATAGTTTTCTTTGTGTATTACATTAAAAACATTTCATGATAATTATGTTTTGGGATCCCCTAATGACTAACTTACTGGAGCGAAAGCATTTGTCATCAAGTTATCTTGGGTTTCTTAAGGAAAAGGATCTTTGAATTATAAAGACAGGACTACAAAGTGAAGGAATTGCAGAGTTTGAGAAAGAAATCAGGGATTTCAGCACAGAATGTAGACGAGCCTTTATTTCTAGAGCAAGACAAAATAGGACCTTTCCTATGGTGGTGGTGGTACACTGATGATAAACCTGCTAAAAAACAAGTTGTCCTTTTTAATGTCATCCTTGCCCCTTCTCCTTTAGCCTTTGTAAACATGCATGTTTCATAGCAGCGATTACTGTATTTATTTAACTCAGGTTAATATGTAGCAATTCTTGTAACATTAAGTATGGGGACTATTAATGTTTTAAGTATTACTATAATGAACAGCTTTATAAAAACTTAAGTTATCTTTATTTCCTCAGGAATATAGTATTTGAGTTAGATTTAGATTCTAAAGTGTTTCTGTGCATTGTGTCTCCAATATTTTTTTAAGTGGTTCAAAACTAGTCAGTAGAAAAAACCACATTGTTTTTAGTATCTCATTTGGATTGAATGAGATGCTGGTATTGTACATGAAATTTGAAAAATTTTATTAGAACTGGTGAGAATCTACAAATATTTTTTTTGATGTGGGTAAAAATATTTTAAGAAAATGTTTCTGCCCAAAAAACTTGTTTCTTCATTAACTTAAGACAAACTTAAGTAAATTATACATGTATCCTGAAAAAAGGTAAATAGGAAACAGCACAACATAGCCTGTGTCTCCTGGGCAATCACGATTTTTCCTTGGCTCCTCATGGGCAGAAACTGCCCTGCTGCTCCCCCACCTGTTTGGAGGTGGTCACCGAGGGTCGGGGGCAGTGATCTCATGCCCTGCTTGCACATCAGAATCACACACCTTTCCTGCATCCTCCACCTCAGACGAACGAGTGGGAGCGTCCAGCTTTGGAAGTCCCCAGGTGACGGTGGTATGTGGCCAGGTTGAGAGGTTGCTGCATTGTGGATGCTCAGACATGGTGCAGCCACGCTGCGTGGCTGTTGTGGGCATGCTGTCAAATCCGTGTTCCACATCCACTGTTGTTACCGTTCCTACCAAACCCTGACTGGACCCCGGGGTTCAGACAGTAATCACCTTACACTGGACCCTGACTGTGTATTTGTAGGTATGAAGCGGGGGTGGGGGTGCCTCTCTGTGATGGTGGTGATTTTAGCTGTGTGTACACACAGGGCTTTTTAAAGACCTAATTTGTTATTCATGGTGAATAATTCACTTGTTCCTTTTGTTTTCAGGCTGTTGAAAATCTCTGTTCTCACAGAGTTTCCCCAACACTCTACAAACAGCTTCGGCAGGTCTGTGAAGATCATGTCCAAGCACAGATCCTTCAGTTTAGAGAATATCCTTTTTTTGGCTCATGAGTTTCTGTTCATTACCTAAATCCTTTGAGACTGAACATTAATAGGATAAAGAACTAATGAGTATCCTTAATATTAAAACAACAGCTTTCAAAATTCGCATTTATTTATACAACAAAACGTAATTTTTGTTTCATGTGATCTAATATAAGAGATTTTTTTTTAAGTGGAATTTTTACCATTTAAATTACTCATCTTATTAAAGCAATAGAGTGTCCACTTAATGGGTCTGGTTGAAGTGTTTAGGAAAAGTTCTGGAAGAGTCTTAATTTTGTGCTGCCATCCTTTTATCTTACTAAAAAAAAACCTGTCTGTCTTTTCTGATGTGTCAAATTCCCACTGACTTGGCGATATAAGCCAGCACCCGTTTGTAGGCTCAGCCACGTGTGTAGGGAGTCACGGCTGGGCTCAGTGGGTTCTCTGCTCGGGGTCTGGTTGGCTGAAAGCATGGGGCCAGCCAGTTGGGGTCTCGCCTGAAGCCGCCTTCCAGGCTCGCCACGGTGGTGCAGACGTCCTCTCCCTCCGTTGCAGGATGGTGCTCTCGGCCCCTGAGGCCGCCCCTGGCTTGTCGCCGCAAGGTCTCTTCTTAGGCAGCATGGTTATTTGCTTCATCCGAACCAGAAGGAAAATGCCCCTCTGTGGTCTGCTGAGCCAGAATTGTATGGTGTGACCCTCATGTTCCCAGCCCTCCCAAGGTCGAGAGAGGGAGTTACAGGCTAGGACGTGGGGGCGGTTTGGTCAGCACCCCCTCGAGGGCCGGCTTCTGTCAGGGAAACGGAGCTCCTTGGATCCTGTCGGCAGTCCTTTACAGTCTGGCCTCCGCCCACGTCTGCAGCCTTCCCATGATCTCAGCCTTCCACGCGCCTCCTGCGTGGGCTTCCTGTTGCAGGCACCTGCTTGTGACTGCTCTTCTCTTGTGGGGTTAGGTAGTTGCAGCCTGTTCACTTCTGACTTCTTTTCTAGCTGAAGGAGCCTTTCCGTCCCATGGCCTCACCTCGAGAAACGGAAGTGTTCAGAGCTTGTTGAAGCCTTCGAGGCAGCCACCACACGTCTGCCGCCTGCTGTCGCGGCTTCTGGATTCGCCAGGGCCATAAAGCCCCTGTGGCCTAGGGCAGGGGGTCCCCGCAGAAGTGGGTGAGCAGGGTCCCCTCTGGTTGTCTCGTCTCGGCGTCCGTAAGCACAGCGCTGCCCCTCGGGACACCGGTGACTGCACTGCCGGGCCTTTGGAAGACGGCCAGTGTGCCGTGTCCCAGACGTACCCTCCTGCCTCAGTGCCGCCGCTCGGCAGTCCGGGAGGCTGGGTGACGGGCCCGGGAAGCCACAGTCAGGGCGCTGGCGTCTGAAGAGTACCAGAGCCCAGGCTTCCTGCAGGCCACCAGCCGATCCCCAAGTTCCCATTCCCAGACTGGCACGCATGAGGGAGAGCTGCTGCAGCTATTGCTAATCTATTGCCCTAATCTAACCAGGACCACGTCCTGATTCCTTGATAAACTCACCCTCCTGCCGGCCAACCCTACCTTGTGGTTACACGGACACGTCCGTGAAGTCACTCATTCAGCAAGTCCTCACTTCCTGTCCAGACCATCACCAGACGGTACGAGATGGTGGCCACGTGTCCTCGGCACTGTGACAGACCACGGCCATAAAAATTAGCATGTATTTCAATGCAGACAAAAGACAAAGATATTTGGCAATGTTATATGTCTTTATGAGCGGGAGGCACCTGGAATTCTGAGATGCTCAGATGTTAGAATCAGGGGCAGAGCTTCCCAGAGGAGGTAATGCCAGAGTCACCTCAGACAGGATGGGTAGGGTGTAGCTGGCCCCAGAGGGAGGGAGCCATCAGAAGGGGGTGCTTGTGAAGACCCAGAGCAGTTTGGCATGACTGGAACCCGGGAGAACTGCTGCAGTTTGAGGCTGTAATTCTGGGTTGCAGCTTGGATTTGAATCTGTGTATGTACTCCGCAGGCTTTGGACTTCAGTCTGTGCGTGTCTGTGAGCCCTCGCAGGTGGGGGGGGCAAGAGTCAAGCCGGGTGAGACCAGTGGCAAGGGAGGCCAGTGTCCACTGCGTTCCAGGCCCTGGCAACAAACAGGCGGACAGAGTTTAAACCCCGAGGTGGGGGCACTGGCAGGAGCATAGAGTCTGCATTTCTGAGACTCCGTGGTGAGGACAGGGCAGCCAGTCTGTGCAGAGGAGATGTTGTGCCTCGCAGGAGGGGTGGGTGATGAGGGGCCAGCGTCAGAGCTGCTGCAGGTGCTCAGACACTCAGGGCAGGAATAGCCCAGGGTAAGCGTACGCGGATTTCTCTTGTGTCTGGGGTGTTCCTGTCTTCCGTGTGGGGCTGCTTTCTGAGCTCGAAGGACTGCTCCCCTCCTCATGCTCTGTTGAGGCCGCAGGAGGAGTGCTCAGGGAGACCAGGAGGTTCACATGTGTGATGAATTCTGCACTCACCTGCTCCTTTCAGAATAGGTTACCTGCTGTTGGTGATAGGCCTTTTCCCCAAGCCAGGACCGTCCCTGCGCACCTCAGCCACTGCCACGTGCGCTGAACCAGGCGTCAGACGACGCAGCAGGAGGGACATGCCGGGCGCCCGGGCTCAGTTCACGAGCGCCTCTTGGGAGCCACGGCCAACGTCCTGCTATGTGTGCTGCCGCATTCAGAGCAGGACAGCCTGCTTTAGGAAACGTGGCACAGATAGAACCTATCACTTTTCTCCTCCGGCGTAAGCACTGTCTTTCTGGTTTCTTTCTTCTCTTTGTTTAATTTTTGCAGTCACAGGTAGATGTAGTTTTTTCCATGGTGCATGAGCATGTTGCCACTGGGTACTTGTTTGCTGTCTGAAGACTTGTCTGACTCCTCTCAGTAGGCTGCTTAAACCTTCAGCTCGGTGTGGCCCTTCTCCAGGCAGGAGCGGACGGTGTGGGGAACCGGTGAAGTGCAAGCCCTTGGACCAGCTCGCAGCACGGCTGCATGGCATGCCCCCCAGCGGTGCTCACGTGGGGCTTTATGTTTTGATTCATGGAGGGCTGGAGCTCCATGCGTGCCCCCTTGTGTGGCCCAGCTGAGCACTCTGTGCTGTTTTCTATGAGAAGTGGCCAGAAGTTACTTCACCCAGCTGTTTGAGGAGAAGCATCTCTCATTGGTGAGCTCTGCACGTAGGGCCCTTCCCTCCCAAGGAGACCCTGCGCCAGGCAGGGTGCTGCTTGCTTAGTTACAGCACCTGGCCTGTCCGCAGCGGTCGGATTGGCTGGTGTGCGTCTCACCCTGGGCGCCCTCACTGACACCTTGGCCCCTAGCTGGTGCAGACGGCCCATGGAGACTGGCCAGGGTATCGGCCACACAGTGAGTGGCTTGTGCCCAGCACCGGGTGCCAGGGCTGCTGGGTCCCCACTGCAGTGGCACTTGTCTAGATGTGATTGTGACTCAGTCTTTGTTTTTTCAGACTGTTTGTATAAGGTTCTACTATCACAGGCCACTATAAGTTTGAGCAATTGTAAAATACTTCTTGGAGAATAATGTGTTAACCGTTGAACTAGTAGGTCTTTGCTGGGATTTACTATTTTTAATTTATTAGCAAAGCCTCGAGAGAAAAGTAAGATGTTTGGCCAGGACCACTGTGGCTGTGGTCAGCTCACCTCACTGGTGCGACAAGATGCAGATGTGCCCGTCGGTCGCTCCTGGCTCTCTTGACCTTCTGTCTCCTCCCCAAAGTCCTGGCTGTGTCCCACCCTCCTCACACCTCCCCGCCAACAGAAGACTCCGATGCCTGTCTGCTTTTACACATCACACGCTGGCCGTGGGCTTTTTCTCTATGTGCTGTGGACGTTACCTCTGACCTCACACCTGTTCTGAGGAAACAGCCGAGGGAAGCTCGTCGCTGGTCCAGTGTCCTAGAGCTTGGACCAGAGGGACAGAAGTCTAGGAGACGCAGGTCTTTCCACCTGAGCAGCTGCTTTGTTGATCTGCACAGATGGAGCGCCGTCTGCACGCAGCTGGGGAGACTGAGCACACGTGTGAAAGGTGCTTTGTAAGCCACGAGGCAGCGGGCAGACATTTAGGACCATGACTTTGCACAAACCTGTGATGGCCGTGCTCCAGGCATTTGGCTGTGGTTTGCTCTGAGAGCCCATATGGGGTTTCTTTTTCCTATAAGCAGTATTTTGAGCCTTAAAAAACATACTCTAATTATCAAGCTGAGAGCATTCCTAATTTGGTGCATGAATGGGATTTCAAGTCAGTTCTCACTGAGGCTACGAGTTAAAGTTAGACTTCAGCCACCTCCCTGTAGCTGCCAGTCTCCTGGTGCTATGAACAGTCAGCCCGCTTCCCCACCACCAGGCCAGCCTGGCTCACAATTGGCCCCTCATCCTCTGTGGGAGAGGACCCTAGGTCCAGCTGCCCAGAAGCCTGTGACCTGGGCCTTAGTTCAGCCAGCAGGGCTCCTCAGGGGACTCGGGAAAGGCAGGGGTGTGCCGGTGCATTTATCACGAATGCGGGGTGAGATGCAGTGATGGAGAAAACCCGCGTCTCTGGTCCTCTGACAACCGAGTGATGGGTAGTGTTCTGTGTCAAGAGTGGCAGTGAAGGGGTTAAAACTACAGTAACTAAACTGGCCGGCATTTGTCATGTTTTCCTTAGCAGATGTGCACAGACTCACTAGATAGTGTTTTATTTTTAAAGAAGATTAACACATGCTGGCAAGATCATTGCAGACAAATGGTAAGCATACTGACTCTGTTAACCCTGGTTTTTAGGTACATGTGCTGTCCCGGCACCTCCATCGCCACTGCTCTGCTGTGTGGTCTCCCCTGCACACTCCCTCTTGGTCCTGTTCACCTCTGGTGTAGCCAGACAGAAGGGAGATGGCGTAGCGGGGAGGATGTGCCCCTTTTAATCCAGCTGTCTTTTTTTCTTTTAATCAAAGCATGGCCTCATCCACCTTCCCTTACCCACCTAAAGATGGTGTGGGCCAGACCATGGGCTGAGATAGGGAAGTTCTGTTTAGGGTCAAATGCTTCCATCCAGCTCAACGTAGTTGAACACCAGAGCAGAGCAAAGCAGGGTGTGAATACTGCTTTTCTGGATTGGAGCTGGCTGCTAACTTGATCTTCACACCAACCTGACATCTCATGATTCCTGAATGGGTCTCTATAAAGTTTTCCTTGATCCCAGTTTGTGCCTGACAATCGAGCCTGACTTCTAGGTTTTTACCATAACTAGACAAAGTCTTAGACTTTGTACATGGGTTGATTCTAATTTGGTTTTATGTATATGAGTTCTTCATGTGGCCTGGTTGTAAGTGAAATCATGGTATCAGTAGCTTTGCTAAGTGGGTGGAATTCTTTTGTTTCCTAAATGAGGTAAACGAGACAGTGAATGAGCCTCTTTTCCTGCCCAGGCACCTGGTAGATGGTCAGAATCGATGAGCGTCTGTTAGGAAGGCTTTGCTCACAAGTCGGGTAGCTTCCATGATAAGAGAATCACAGGGTGGCTGATGATTCTATGCCCTCCATGCTCTGCTTACAAAGGAGAGTCAAACACGTGGCCAACAGCCTTGTGCCAACATAATGAGGACTAATTATTTAAAAAGCTTAAAGTGTCTCTTTAGGCCCATGAGATTTACCACGTTAGTCAAGAGATGACCAGATTTCAAAAGTATCCTTTAGGTTAAATGGTTTAAAATCCTTATAATCAGATTTTCTGGATTGAAGAGGTGAAAATCATGAGGGTCTTGGGGAACATCAAGAAACAATTATTGTTAGATCTGAGACAGTTACCATAGTTGTGGTTCAGAAGGCCTAATCTTGGATATTTAGTTGGCAAGTTATGTAAATAAATGCTTTTCTAATTGCTAGATCATGATCAGAAGTATTTTCCTGTTTTTGGATCGCACTTACGTCCTTCAGAATTCCATGCTTCCTTCTATCTGGTGAGTGTCCGAGTTGGCGAGCTGTGTCTGCTGCTACCATTTGGTCCTTCATGTCAGCCGGGATCTCGAGTGCACACGTCCAGACCCAGGTGGACCTTAGTCTTAGGGCCAGAGCTGGGGCCGGCTGTACCCAGGGGAGCCCCTTCTGGTACACTGCCCAGCTTGAGTGCCACCGTGGGCGTGGCAGGTCAGCGAGGCAGCTCTGTGGGGAGGCCCGTTTCTGTCACTGGGCTCTGCACACTAGGGCCGTCTGGAGCCAACGGGAGGGAGGGAGAGGCCGAGGCCCTCCGGGACCGTCCAGCAGCTGGTCCAGCCAATGGTCTGGTGAAGCTCTGAGGAAGACTGGGGCTGGTGAGGTCATGACCCGGGTTCCTGAAGCCCCCCCACGCCTCCCCATCCCGCCGACCAACCACGCACACAGAGACCTGCTTTCAATCTGCCCGTCTACCATGCAGCATCTTTCTGGGATGGTGTGAATTAGGAGCTCCACCCTCTGTCACCCACTTTCACACCCTGTACGGACGCCCTTCGCCACGCTGCCTGTCCCCTAGGCGCCCACTGCTGCTTCCACAAAGCCCTGCCTGACCTGATCGGACTTGTCCCTCATGTCATCCGCGGGCTCTTCTCCCATTCCCTTTAAACCCAGGTTCTTTAAAAAGCGGCTTGCTTTTGCAGTTTCCTTAGCATCCATTCCCTCTGACCTGAGGCTAGAACTGCTCTTCCTGAGGTGTTGGTGACGCCTGGTTCCCAGATCCCATGGATACTTATTTTCTATTACCTGACATCTGTACAGCTCTGGACACTCCTTGAAAGTCTCCCCTTCCTCCCCCTTCCCTCTCTAGCCGCTGCTCCCGTACCCATCCTGCTAGACACCCACACGCATCTGCAGTCTGCTGGCCCCGCACGAAGAGGGTGGCCTCTGTCCAGAGAAGCGATAAGGATGTTGTACTGAGGACGACGTGAATGGCATGGCTGCTAGTCTGTGCCAGGCCCTCTCGTAAGAGGCCTGGCACCTGCCAGCTTACCGAGTCTGCAGTACGGCTCTAGAGGGGTTACTGTTTTCTCCGTTTTATAGACGGAGAAACTGAGGCAGAGACTTCTCATGATTTACTGTTCCCAGGTTGTTGGGCTGCCTGATCTGAACTGTTAGTTCGTAAACATGGTTCATAGCGTAACCATGTCACAGAAACTATAAACATCACTTACAGCATCGACAATACTGGCCTCAGGCCGTGGCAGCAGGTGGGAAAGCTACGTCTGGTAGAACCAGACTCACGGCAGGTGCACAAGAAATGCCCCAGGCAGGACATGGTGGGAGGGGTGAGCCTCATCCTAGGCCTGAGCTTTGCAGAATGAGCAGGAGTGCTGAGGTAGTTGAGGGCAGAAAGAGGTGGTAATAGAGAAAAGGAAGCCTATGTGGAAACGGGAACTGCCCAGGGTGAGCTGTTTGTGGGGGAGGCAGGGACATGAAGCCCACAGGACATCCTGATCGCTGACGGTGGGGAGCGATGGGATTGAGATTTTAGAAAGCAGCGGCTCACAGCAGAGCAGGTGGATGAGAGCGGACAGTGAGCACTTCATAAGCCCCATATGGGCCACCTGCCTGGCCCGGTGTGGAAGGGTTTTACAGGCGGAAGACTGAATGTGTGATCCCATTTACAGTTAAGGAAGGACAGGCAGGGACCCAGAGGCGCACTGTGAGCCAGGGATGGGGCCAGGACTCTGACCCAGATGGCCGGCTTGAGCGGCATGGCTGACCCCTGCACCCGACTGCTGCGTCTTGGACGAGCGCAGAACACCCAGGCCTGCAGCTCCTCCAGGGAACACAAAAGGCCTCCTGTGGTGTGTGCTGTAGGAGAGGGTTCACCACAGATGGGGCTCTCCAGAACCCGTGCCGCTCTGCACACTGCTTGCTGCCACAGGCGTGGCTCACCACTGCTCCTGCTCACCACTACCGCCTCAGCTGCCCGTTGAGGAGACCTGACCGGGTCCAGGAGCTCAGTTTTGTCTGCCTGCTCAGTACTTGGCACGTAAGGGACCCGTGGAGGTGTTTGCACAGAGCCTGGTATCCCAGGGTTTCTGTGCACAGTGACCGAGCTGGAGTTCCCCAGGCGACAAGCCGAGGGAGGATGATGTACTCTTAGAGTCACATTGTACATTCCATTCACCAATGGAGAGGACCGGATAGAGGAGAGGCCCCGGTGCCAGGGGAGGAAGAGTTGGATGACATGCTCTGGAGAGGGACCAGAGGTGGAAAAGGGAAGGACAGAGGGGCTGGGTGGATGGAGATTCCTAAATCCCGCCCCAAGAAGAAGGGTGTGAGCCGCAGTGTTGGCAAGATCCATGTACTTTTCACTGACAAGCCCAACCTGCCCCAGGAAACAGCCTTGAGGAAGCAAATACAAAGCACACTAGACTGGCCAAAAACAGAAAATACAACAAAGGCATACTTGACACGTGGATTTAGAGAGTTAGCATATCAACGCTTTTGGGATGAGAGTCCCAGTGTAGCTTGTAGCTTTACCTAGAACTTCTGAAAAGTGGAACTGAAATACAGTTTTGTTTTTACTGTTTGTACAGGGATATGGGATTAGAACTTTTTAGAAACCATATCATCAGTGATAAAATGGTTCAGAGTAAAAGTATTGATGGAATTCTGCTGTTAATTGAACGAGAGAGAAATGGCGAGGCAGTGGATCGCAGTTTATTGAGAAGTCTGCTGAGTATGCTGTCTGACCTTCAGGTAAGGCCTCCCTGCCCAGCTGCCTACACTGAAACAAGTGGATGTGAAGCAGGGTTTCAGTGCAAAATACAAAATCCCACAAATGTGGTGTTGAATATGTGCGAGGGGAGTGACTCTCAGGCTAGCCGTACAGAGCAGGCCACAAAGGGGAGAGCCCTTAACACACGGACCTGGCCCTCCAGAGCAAGGACAAGGGCCTGCGGCACTCACAGAGCAGAAAGCGTGTCGGGTGGCCTGGGCTGCCGGGCTCCCTGAGGCCCAGGGCCGCTCCCTGCAGCCGGGCTCCCTGCAAGTCTTGGGTATATCAGCACTTGCTAAGGTAGGTTTCTTTACTATAAGTGGTCGGTAACTTTGTTCATTTCTTAGGTGTATAAAGATTCATTTGAACTGAAATTTTTGGAAGAAACTAATTGTTTATATGCTGCAGAAGGCCAGAGATTAATGCAAGAAAGAGAGGTGAGACAAAGAATTTCTTTCTTTCTTTCTGTAGATGTGCATCTTAAGTGTAATTTCTAGAAAGTTGTGTTTCCGTGTAAACATTTTATTAGAAGTCTTCTGAAAGACACAGTCTAGCTGAAATTCTGTGACGAGCTTCATTCTTACTACAGTAAAGATTTGATTCTTTTTAACTTAGAAACTTTTGTATTTCTGTCCCCCCCCAACCTAAGTAAAAAAGGCGGTAAGGTAGCTTCTGAAATGTGTAATAAAGTAACTCAAGTTGAAGCAAGAGGATCAAAGGTAAATCTGAAAGAAGAAAGATAAGTCAAACACACCCCAAATCCTCCCTTTGTGTGAGACATGAAAAGAAGTTATCCAGAAAACCACAGGAAAAAACATGAAATAGTGATATGAACCCCAAATCTTGGTAACCAGTTTCAAAAGTATGAGAGCAGGGCCTGAAGGAAGCTCCCCTGGACCCTCCCCCAAATGTCACTCATCATTGCACAGGACGGACCAACTGTTGGTTCTTCATCCTGGTTTTGGAGAGGGAGTTTCATGCCCCATACCCAGCCCTGCTCCACCACGAGGTCAGAACGCCAAAGACCCTTGTCATGGGGACTTTCCTGTGCCGTCAGGTGACAGCAGGAATGCCCTTTACCCCTGGAAACGTGAAGTGCGTTTTGAGATCTGCTACTGGGCTGTTTGGCGTCCTCACATGAACGCACAGTCTTCTGATTAGCTTTTGCTGACCCTGCTGTCTATGGGCCAGGGGGTGCGTTAGGCCTGCACCCTCTGACCCGGCTGCTGCTCACCTGCCCACAGGGCCTCAGTGTAGGAGGGACCCGTGGCATTGTCCCTGAGCTTCATGATGAGCAGGGCACAGCAAGTGACGTGCTGTCCCCGTCCCTCCTTCTAGACATCCAGTCGACTCTCCAGAATCGAGTTCAAGGGAAGTTTCTTCTGTGTACCCCGCCTGTCCCCCAGTATGCTTCCCACTCGGCCACTTTCACTCCCCCCACTCATCTGTATTAATATTTGGCTTGAATATATATTCTGCTTTTCTTTTTTTAATTTTTATAAGGACAACAGCGTTTCAGTTTCTTACGTAACACCAAGAATCTTTGTTACCTAAAAAAAAGAAAAAAGAATCTTTGTTACTGACATGTTTAAATGTTGTGTTTGGAAGGTTCCAGAATATCTTAACCATGTAAGTAAGCGTTTAGAGGAAGAAGGAGACCGAGTAATCACGTATTTAGACCACAGCACACAGTAAGTACTATTCATTTACTTGGCTCTTGCAATTTGAGCACAGTGAACCCTTTTCCTGGCTGGCATTCAGTACTACCTGAGAGTATTTTTGTTGCTTATATTATTTGTGATCATTCAGTACTTGTGAGTGACAAGTGCTGTGTCGTGAGATGGTGCCCAAACGGAGCACCTCAGGCTGAGAGGCTTGGCATCTTTGAGTTTAGGGACAGGGATTCTGTTAAATCCATGGGGTGTCATTGAATATTGGAAAATTTGGATTATAAACTTTTAGTTAGACATGTAAGATAGCTGTAATTCTTATGGTCGTAAGTCACATTATTTTCTCTTTTCATCCAATTTTTTTTTTTCTCTACCTGAGGTTGAAAAGTAGCTAGGGAAAAATTGTGTGAATGTCTGCTTCTCACTGTGCATATAACCTTTATTCAAGTGAGGAGAGGTAAGAACGGAAAGGGGATAGAAAAGAGACTGAAGGATAAAACGTGCAAAACTTGCGACTCGCCAGGAACAGGCGGGATGAGAGAAAGGGGCAGAGTTACGGCGCTTTGAGAAGACAGGAGATAGAGGGTCAGGAGAGGGGAGATGCCTTCAGACATTTGAGGGGCCTGTGGGGAGCCCAGGATCTGCGGAGAGTGACAGTCGTGCCAAAGCCAGGATGGCCTTGTTCCGGGTGCTGTGGGGACGCAGAGCTCCAGCTGGGGAGTGTGAGGGGCCACGGGCTGGAGGCCGGCAGCAGGGAGGTACGAGGAGTAGGAAAGGAAATGACAAATGGTGTCAGATCGCGCCAGTGGGTCAAGTCAAGGATGGATAAAAGTGTTGGTGGAGTATCTGCTACATTTTTTTTTTTTTTATTAGTGATATTTTCCATGTAGCACGAAGTTCGAGAACAGGCCGAGCTAGCCGGTGTACTGATTAGGGAGCTCTATATATGGTAGATCCTGTAGCAGAGCAAGGGAGCTGCCCGCACGGGCTCAGCTCGAAGGAAGGGCAGGGTACCGGCGCTGCTGGAACCTTCTCCTTTATGACCCAGAGGCACTGGGCATGGTGCTCCTGTTCGCTTTTATATACGCTAATGCACTCTTGTATGTAGGCTCTACTTTAAACTCCTCCCCCCCAATTTTAAAAAATGCATTGCTTAGAAGAGTATTTGTAAATGATTTAAGCAAAGGAGTACTACATGGTTCACCCCCAGGCTCAGGCACAGGTGGGTCTAAGGAACACTGACTGAGGTGGCTTCTGCCACCACAAAATAAAAAGTCGTCGTCAGGAAGAGGGAGACTGAGGACAAATAAGCAGCCACAACAGCCTTAGGGCTGGGCTCAGAGTGCCTCTTCCAGCCCTACCTGCCCTCAGTCCGAGCACCGTGGATGGACGCCATGCAGAAGAAGAGCATGCTTGAGAGCCCCAGGGCATTGCCTCCTGCTGCACCGTGTGACCCACCTCACTCTGGACAGCGCGGCTAGGTCACTTGGCAGGCCTCGCCCCAGGGACGGCTTCTGTGTGCCCCCAGGACTCTTGCCCCTCAGTGCGGGAAGGACCCGCTCTCCCGTTGGTTGGCAGGAATTCTCATACTGCAAAATCAGAGTTGTCACCATGGATTATGAGGTCAGTCTTTGGGCACCTGGGTGCTCAGGCAGTGAGTTTCCCAGGACTGTACCTCTGGTCACGAGGAGTCTGTAGTGTCTGCCCTTAGCTCGGGACCTGTCCCAGCACCCGTGCTACGGACGTTGGGATGAAGGCATCCCAGGTAGGCATCACACAGACCATTGGGATGAAGACCATGATTGGGTTTCTAGAACCGCAGCCTAGGCCATAGGTTGCCTAGAAGCAGGGATTCTGTGAAGACAGGAAAAGTTGCTCAGCATCATTAGTCATCAGGGAAATGCAGATCAAAACCACAACTCCCAGTCCCACTTCACACCCACCAGAATGGCTTTTTGATTAAAAAAGGCAGGCAGTACAGAGCCTCGGCGAGGATGTGGAGAAGGGAACCCTCGTGCCCTGCCGACAGGAATGTAAACCGGGCAGCTGCTGGGGAGACAGTTCGGTAGCTCCTCAGAGTGCTGTCCGGACTTACAGGGTTTTCCGATGCACTGGTTCTCCTACTAAATATGTAGATAAAAACGTACGTTCACACTAAACCTGTATGCGGGTTTTCATAGCGGCTGTATTCGTCGTAGTCTACGGGTAGAGACCACCCATTGGCCGCTGATGCGCGGGGGTGACGCTGTTCAGGGCAAGAGCGGGTGCACCGCTGGCCCTGCTGTCCGTCTCTGACCTTTGACCTCCACCCCCAAATCCCATGGCCCTGCTCTCCCTCTTGGAGGCAGACTGGGAAGGTGCTGGCTGGCCCCTCGCCCCTCACCCTGCTCCTCAGTCGGCCCAGTCTCTCACCTCTGACCTTTTGGGGAGTGGGGGCTGGGGGTTGGAGACAACGTCTGCTGCACCTCTCTCTAGAGTCACCGTGAGGTTTAAGATACTCTGTTGAAAAGTTCTTTATGAAGCAAAGGCTCAGGAAGATGCCCGAAATTAATAATCCTGGGACTAAAGCACATGTTGTGACCTTTGAATAACAACTGAAAGTAAAGGAATTGTGGATGATACACCCAGGAAGAGTAGTTTCGCGTGTCCCTGTGAGTGTGGCAGCCACATTTATGGATGTTCCAGTTTCTCATTCTGTTCTGCGTGACACTCCTGCAGCGTGAGCCTCACATCGGAGCCTTGATAAGTAGGATTTTTGACAAGTGGTCATGGGAGGGGACAGGCCTGTGCAAGTGGAAGGTGATGGGGCTGGAGCGGAGCAGGCTGAGCAATGGAAGACAGGCTAGGGTGCCTCGCACTCAAAGGGCAAAGTCTCCTTTCAAAAACCACCGGCCAAGCTGGGGGTGCGGTGTGTGCTGGTGTCCCCCTCTCCCTGGACCCCCGGTCCCTTTATGTTATTCAGTAGATAGACTTCAGCGTCTGCTCGGACAGCAGGGAGATTGTTCGTGGTCGGAGGGAATGGCTGTTGTGGTGTCCGTCCGTCTCTGATTGTCTCCACGTGATGTCTGTGACCGTAAAGTCCGCTTCTTCACAGCTGACCAGTCTCTCTCCTTTTACTTCATCTCTGACTTTTCATCTTTGTCTCATGTAGGAAACCACTGATTGCTTGTGTGGAGAAGCAGCTCTTAGGAGAACATTTAACAGCAATTCTGCACAAAGGTAGGTTTTCCTAACTTGTGTCAGACCGAATGACGGTCCTTAATATATTAAGAAAGCAAGTGAGACGTCGCACATGACAACGTAAAGGACATTTTTTATTTTAATACGACAATCACTAAAAATCGTTAGGAATAACAAACATGTTAGCCCTTGGGGAAAATGAGTTCAGAGAAATAGTGAACAGCCTCTGGTAGAAATCCCGTGGAATGCGCTCATGACCAAAGCTGCGGAGAGACCCAGCCACAGCTTTTGCGGCTGGGTCCTCGTGCGGCGCTTGTCCTCCATCGCTGGATTGGTGCTCCCCGGTGCTGGCCCACGCAGAGCGCCACGGGTGTAGGCTGCTTGGACAGGCCCTTAGGTTGTCTCAGGGCTTCCTCCCCACGTCCTCCACTCAGCTGAATGCCAGGTGAACCTCCAGGTGGCTGGGGATGTAAGCCAGAGTGCACTTTCCCATCCTGAGTCTCCTGGAAGAGCAAGCACGTGACATTGCTGACTGAGCAGTGTTCTCTTCCACGCTACATCCCTCATGTCGCTCTTCAAGCGCTGGGGAGGAGTGATTCCAGCAGCCACCGTGCACCTGCTGTTTGATTCGTTCAGTCTGCTCTCCTTGTTAATTCCTGCCCTTCAAGGTGTGCTTCCTTCCCTGGACATTAGAGTGAGCCCAGTCTCACCTCTTACAACACATTTGTACTTGGCGTTACTTTTTATAGCTCTCAGGTATTTAATGTTACCATTTAAAAGTCAGGCTGGAGCTACAGGATCTATTTCAAGATAGTAGTGACCTTAAAGCTTAATCATGGGAAGACCCAGAATTATAAACATAAATTAGAAATTAAAAGAAAAATAAATCAGCTGAAAGATGAGATCTGGTAACTCCCCCTGTGACAGATCCGCTGAGCGACAAACTCAATCAGAGGTAACATGGGGCCGTGAGGCGCTGGGGGCGATCGAGGCGCGCGGGCCAGGCCGCTGTTAGTGAGACCAGGGCTTCCATGACCCGAGGGATTAAGGAACACACCTGCCTGTGCGCTCAGAAAATGACCCTGCCTGACAGGGTCTTCTCAGATTCTGGAGACCCACTTCCTACATAGAAATAAGCAGCAGTCCCTGCATTTGTAACTTACATAGTAGGTGTTGCATGGTGCACACCACACCGACTCGCTAACGTGATGTGCTTAACGTTTGCTGTGCGGTGTCAGGGCTGGACCACCTGCTTGATGAGAACAGAGTGCCCGACCTCACTCAGATGTACCAGCTGTTCAGCCGTGTGAAGGGCGGGCAGCAGATCCTGCTGCAGCACTGGAGTGACTACATCAAGGTGTGTGGGGCCGTCTCGGCGGGCGATGACCATGCCTTGTGGGGTGTGCGGTGCCTGGCAGAGGAGGACAGTCTGGAGACACCCTGGTTTTCTTGTGGCAGGTGCTTGGGTGGACAGCAGTCTTGCATTTCCTTCCAGATGGCTGGTGCAAACCTTTTTTTTAAAGATAACACCAACAGTGTGAGCACCGCCTGCAACCAGGTGTGATGAAAGTCTGCCATTCATCGGCTGCCTGGGCTCCAGTTCCAACCACGATTTGCAAAGAGTTGCCATTTTGTGAATCTGCTTTTTAAACATCCATGCCTTTGCTCATGAGAATTATTACACATTTTGGAATATCCATGTACTGTGTATGCTGCTTCATTTCTTAGCCATCCAGGACTATTACTTTCACAATACTTTGTTGTTTCTTGGCACGTTGGCCTGTGGTTATGGGAAGGCGGCAGGAGGGCTCTTGTGCTAGAGTGTTCGGCGCCCGATCACGGTGATGGGTGCACAAGGCTGCCCCCAGTGATGAGTCCAGAGAACAGTACACACCGGGGGGTGGGGGGCGCGGGAGGGAGAAACAGGTGAAACTGGGGCAGTCTGGAGAAGGTGGGTGTGGGGTATCAGTGCCCGTACCCCAACGGTGGTGCTGCTCTATCGTTTTGCCAAATGATAGGTCCCCATCGGGAGCAGCTAGGCAAAGCGTGTAAGGATCTCTCCACTCTCTCTGCTGCACGCGAGTCTGTAATTACCACAGGAAGAAATTCCGTTAAAAATAGAAGGAATAATGGGAAGCTTGCATGCTGCTTTACGGAACAGTCAGTCCTAAAATGGCATATTCGTGTACACATGGAACACTCATGCACACATGCACCACACCCCCCGAGATGTATACAGCACTATTGGAGCTGAAAGTCGTAGCGGACTCACGCTGGATCAGCAATAGAGCTTCATGTTACGGAAAGTCTGATGGAGAATGCAGGTGTTGCTGACGAGTAGCCCTTCGGGGAGCAGGGACATGCACCGAACATGGGAGATTCCCTCAGGAGTTTCAGTCCGGGTAGTAAAACTCCGCTCCTGAGTGTCCATCAGGGATAAGCAGTCACACCGAGACACAACACAGGTGTGTGGCTATCACAGGAAAGATGACCCTTGGCAGTGTGTGTGTGTTACTTGCCGTCAGTGCAGAAGGGTGCAGAGCAGAAAGTCCCAGCCCTGCTGGTCATACGGTGTGCCCCCCACTTACGTATGTGACACCTAAGTATGCGTGTATGTGCTATTAAGGTCAGTTTTCCAAAAACATATATATTATTTCTATCAAAAGAAAATTCGACTGAGTACATTTTGAAGATCTTAGTGGCTGTATCTGGTGATTCATGACCTGGGCAGCGCACCATCCAGCAGATAGAAAGGAGCCCCAGGAGATACGGGAGACTTTTTCAGGCAGGAGGGGGCAGGACAGGAAGTTCTTGTAGTAAAGAGCAGTTGGTGTGGCAAGGTCACCTTCCTTGGGGTATGGCAGGGATCTGTCTGGCAGATAGCGCTGGCAAGCCTGCTGCTCGCTCTAGGACTCCATTCCTTGGAGGGGCAGGCTGTAGGTCCCGGTCTGCTGGCGTAGGGCTGAGCACGGGGACTGCACTTGGGGCCTGCCATCTCTCTCTTTGTAAACACATCAGGTAGGAGCTGTACTCAGCGCAGGTTGTACCGTCTGGGAGTGCATTTCCTCAGAAGCCGTTACTGTCACACACGGACTTTTCGTGATGTTGAATAGGGCGTGTTTGAATTAAAAATACAGGCTACAAACTGAGCTGTTGCTGGTTAGCACTGGGGGAGGAAGAACACTATAGTCAAGAAGGCCAAGTGAGTGTATTGGGTTAATGGGAAGTTCTGTTTAGGAATTCATATGTCAAAGGTTTTTTTAAAACCGTGGACACTAATTTATAAATTCTTCCAGAAGCAGAATTGTAACACTGAAGCATTAATTGTATATTCACTTAATTTTTTTAATGTGGGCCGAATCTGAAACTTGAGATTATTTAGTATTTAACACCAACGGTAATTAATTTATATAAAAGTATCATGATTGAGAGCAGGAGAAAATGTGTGGTACCATTGCCTGTGGATGAGTTGGTGTGTGTGTGTTCTTGTAGACTTTTGGGACAACAATTGTGATCAATCCTGAAAAAGACAAAGATATGGTACAGGATCTGCTGGATTTTAAGGATCGGGTGGACCATGTGATAGAAGTGTGCTTCCAGAGAAACGAGAAGTTCATCAACTTGATGAAGGAATCCTTTGAAACGTTTATCAACAAGAGGCCAAATAAGCCCGCGGAGCTGATAGGTAGGAAAACAGACTTCCATAGTTTTTTAATGTAGGAAAGTGAGGCAGAACTCAAGCAAACATTTTTTTCCCAAAATGTTTAAGCTCCTCTTGGGGAGGGTGGAGAAGGATTTGTATTACAACTTAGTAGCATACACGTTTTTTTCAAAGATGTGTGTATGTGTTATGTATATATATATAAACACGTGGCATTTCCGCAAGGGTGAACATAGTAGTAATTTTGTAAAGATGAAGCTTGACGTCACAGAAGGAAGAGACAGAAATTTATTCTCGTGTGCATTTCCTACACTAGCAGCTCCAGAGCTGTATTTGGTAAAAATGAGCCCTGGTTCTGTCTTGATTGCAAGTAATTTGTGCTCAGAAACTGGATGAAGAGGATTTGTTCTACACGAATGTCTCTGGGTTATGAGGATGACTCGATTGATCTCTAGAGCGCATTTAGCAGGAAGATATTACTCAGTCCCTACCTTTGCATCCTCTTATCAGTACTAAAATAGGATAAAATTGGATGAGGTCTTTTTTTTTTTTTGGATGAGGTCTTAAAAGATAACATGGTTAGCACTGTGAATTATGTAAGACTGTTGAATCACAGACCTGGACCTCTGAAACAAATAATACATGTTTAAAAAAAAAAAAAAAAGATAGCAGGAGGGGCAGAATGAAGGGGGAGAATCGGAGGGGGAGACAAACCATGAGAGACTGTGGACTCTGAGAAACAAACTGAGGGTTCTAGAGGGGAGGGGGGTTGGGGGATGGGTTAGCCTGGTGATGGGTATTAAAGAGGGCACGTTCTGCATGGAGCACTGGGTGTTATACGCCAACAGTGAATCATGGAACACTACATCAAAAACTGATGATGTAATGTATGGTGATTAACATAACATAATAAAAAAAAACTAAAATAACAAAAAGATAACATGGTTTAAGATGAAACCGTTTTTAAATGATGACTTTATCCAATTATGTTGTCGTAATACCAAAACATATTTCAGGATTCATAGCCTCTCACTAATCAGTGAAAGTTTTTAGGCAAAGGGCAAAGAAAGAAATAGTAAATACAGTGATTCAACATTGGGCTTATTGATTATTGTTGAGGATATGTGATGGGAATGTGGGGTTCATCATGCAGTTCTCTACTTTTGTGTATGTTCAGAGTATTTCATAATAAAAAATCGTGAAGAAAGAAACTAATAAAAGCAGCAACAAGAGGGGCCCCTGGCTGGCTCAGGCAATGGAGCATGCAACTCTGCATCTCAGGGTTGTGGGTTCGAGCCCCACGTTGGATGTAGAGTGCTTGAAAAAATAAAATCTTAAACGCAGCAACAAAAGAAATTCACAAGGCAGTTTAGTTTGGCCTTTGTACCACTTTATGGACTGTGGTTTCTCCAAAGATGGATATTTAATTCTTGGCCAAACCCCATGGTTGATCCGTGTGGTCTCAGCAACGAGAAGGTCGGGTGGCTTGCTCTCACCCCTGGGTTCAGGGATGCTGCATGTTAAAGACAGGCCATTCCAGTGGAGCAGTGATGGGTTGTGAAACCCAGGCATGTGATTCAAGTATTTATTCTCACATAATTTGAAAATATCTTAGAAAATCAAATTATCTGCCTTTTGTCATATAATAATGTCATTTTGGAAAGGTTCCAGGGGGTTGTCGTCTGCTTTTTGCTTGTAGAAATTAAGGATGTTCTTTTTTCTGTTTAGAAAATGTATCGTGTAACAAATACTTATTCTTCAAATAATTTAAACTCTTAATCTCACAGCAAAGCACGTTGATTCAAAGTTGAGAGCGGGTAATAAAGAAGCCACAGACGAAGAGCTGGAGAGGATTCTTGACAAGGTCATGATAATATTCAGGTTCATTCACGGTGAGAAACACTCTACGCTGTTCCTATTAACACTGAGCATGGAGAAAAGGTTACCTGGTCCAGACATCTGGATTTGGGCCCTGTCTTTTCTTGAGGAAACTTGACTGAGACGTTTCCACTTCCGTGTTAACACAGGAAGTAGAGGGATGGCCACCCGCCGATTGCATTGCAAGTGTTCTTTTGTGGCAACGTCCCAGGAGGCTTCCATGTTAGAGCAGCTTGCTGCAGAACGGACACTTAGACTGTCCACAGTCGGAGGCAATATTTCCGTATTAACTGTCTGATGTCTCCTGTCGTTCTCATTTGGTTATAAATAGGGAAAGATGTCTTTGAAGCATTTTATAAAAAAGATTTGGCCAAAAGACTCCTGGTTGGGAAAAGCGCCTCAGTAGATGCTGAGAAATCGATGTTGTCAAAACTAAAGCATGGTAAGCGTGTGTGGGCCCCGGGGTCTGTCCCTCCTCTGTGCTGGGCCTTGTCCCCAGTGGTGTTCACGCCCTCTGCTTGTGTCCCAGAGTGTGGCGCTGCTTTCACCAGCAAGCTGGAAGGCATGTTCAAGGACATGGAGCTCTCCAAGGACATCATGGTCCAGTTCAAGCAGGCAAGCTGTGTTTCTGTTCGAGTAAAACAGCTGTATGTAAGCGATCCCACGTTACGTTATGTCAAGCTCTCGGCCTTAAAAATGACACTCCTCACACATTTGAGTAACTTAAATTCAAAATGAAAAAGAAAATAATCCCTAAAGATGTATAACAAAAATTTGATTTAATAACTGTAATAGTATCCTGTGTTGGTAACATAACCAAAGAAGAAGGAGAAGTATCCCAAGTGGCTTTGGAATGTGTCCTGTGTCTTCAGTGGAATGTGTTCTTGGGACTAAATACAAACACATGTTGAACCGTGTTTTGAAAATTACACCACTTACCTTTTTATGAGCTAGTTATTTTGGATGATATTCTACAGTACTTATTTTATCTTGTTTTTTTTTGTTTTTAGTATATGCAGAATCAGAGTGACCCGGGCTCTATAGATCTAACAGTGAACATACTTACGATGGGTTACTGGCCCACATACACGCCTATGGAAGTGCATTTAACTCCAGAAGTAAGTGTTTGAAAGAGCATCTGTCCTTTGCGTTTCATGTGTCGGTGCTGCCAAAGCGCCGGAGACTTCTTACACGCCTTCCGTGCACAGATGTGTTATCTGTCACGAGATATTTAATGAGAGGGTTTTAAATCCCACCATCACAGACCCAGTGTCCTTGTAGTCTTTGGAAACCAGTGTTGCTCAGTGACTGCCTCTGACCCTGTCTGGCTCCTTCTGACAACCACGCCCCCCCCCCCGCCCCGCCAGGCCCCTGGCTGACTGTCGAGAAGGCGGCGGCCCAGGTGCAGGGAGGCGCTGCTTGCTGGTTGTCCTTCCGTCCCAGTGTGGATGCTCCGGGTCTCATGGGCTTGCTCAGCACTGCGTCAGGAGGCCCCTGCTGTCCGTCGGCCCCGTCTGTTGGTGGTGGCCCGTGTCGTCATTGGGTTAAGGCGTTAGCTGGTTTCTCGACTGTGGTTCGTATTTTTCCTTTTGTAATTTTGAAGTAATCTGTGGGAAGATACTCCTCTTCTTCCCCATCAGACTCTCCTGCTGGGCAACTCCTGAGTCCTGTTGACAAGTAGTGGCTTTCTCTGTCTTTATCTGTATGAACTCACGGACCCTTGGTTACTTGTCTCCATGTTCACGCTGTCCCGCATCCGGCTGGTGGAGCGCCTTACAGGCCCTTTGTCCTTCTACAGGCCCTTGTGGGTTTTTTAGTACTTTTTTGTTTTCTAGCAAAAGATGTTTGAGGCTTACCATACTGTGCCTTTTAAAAATATACCTACAATATAAATACAAATAACTCAATTGTAGGTGAAGCATACCTACAATTTCCCACTTCAGCCTGTGCAGTTGGGTGGCATCTTCGTCTAGGTCATCCCAGACAGAACCCTGCAGCCGTTGAGCACACCCTCCCCCATTCCATCCACCCAGACCTAGGCATCAGCTGACCTGCTGTCTGGATTCTCTGTTCCAGATGGTAACATAATGGGAACCACACACTGTGTGGCCTTTGGTGTCTGGCTCTGCTTCCTCTCGGCATATCCTGTTTGCAGGGCCCATGTGCGCTGCAGCCTGTGTCGTGCCTCCTTCCTTTTTAGGGCTGAGTGATACTCCAGGGTGCACGCAGACCTCATGTCCATCCGTCCATCCGTCCTTCCATGGACACTTGAGTGGCTTTCACCTTTTGGCCTCTGTGGGTGTCGCTGCTATGGCAGGAGCGTGTAAATACTGGAGTCCCTGCTTTCAGTTCCTTTGGGGTCCACGCCTGGGAGTAGAAGTGCTGGGTCGTGTGATAATCCTGTTCAACTGTTGGAGAAACTACTGGTTTTCCACAACAGCTGCTCCCTCTCCCACCCCCACTGGAGGCACACAGGCCTTCCCGTTTCTCCACATTCCCATCCACATTTGTGATTTAGCTGTCTTAATGGGTGTGAATCAATGTCTCATTTTGGTTTGATCTGCTTTTCCGTAACGAATAATGATACCTTTGAGCGTCATTCGTGTGCTCATCGGCCACTGTCGCTCCTTGAAGAACCCTCTGTGCAGTTCTTTCCCTGTTTTGTAATTGTGTTACCTGTCTTTCTGTTACTATAAGTTGCAAGGGTTCTTTATATATCTTGGGCACTAGATCCTTCCTGGGTATGTGATTTGCAGATATCTTCTCCCATTCTGTGAGATGTCTTTTCACTATTTTGATGGTGTTCTTTGCACAGAATTTTAGAATTTTAATGAGGTCTGATCTGTTTTTTTCTGTTGTTACTTTTTGGTGTCATATCTAAGAACTATGGCCCAATCCACGGTCATGAAAGTTCACTCCTGTGTCTTCTGCTGAGAGTTTTATAGTCTTAGCTCTTACACTAGGTCTCTGACCCATGTTGAGCCTGGGGTTGTAACTGGCACATAGTAATCCCCCAGTGTTAGCTTCTGTCCTCTCACTGTTAGCACCACTCCCAGGAGTTAATCTCAGGGAAAAAGTTTTTAAGAAGTGTATCACAGTATTGGCTTTTATTGCTTGGGGGTCATACGGTATTAGATATGTGTTCTGAAAGAGTCACTGCCTTTCAGATACATACTAAAAGATTCAGAAAAGAAATGACCGTCGTGTCTGGGATTTGATGTTGGCGATGGGTAGTGGGTGTTGGGGGATAGTTTTGAAGCGTGAGGACAGGTTTGCCACGCGGATGGGAGGCCGATGGGCATTCTGACTTGGATGGAGCACTCAGGAAGGGTGCCGCAGGCCGGAAGAGTGACATCCCCTCCGTCGGCCCTGCCCCCCGAGCTCTCTGTCCGGACGGACGTTCACAAGTTGCTGTAAATGCTGTCAGAGAGAGCAGCTGGAGAAGACCTCTGTGAGGAAGGAGCTCTTAAAGATGAGCGGGCATGGCGGCGGGTTCCCGTGGCAGCCTGAGCAAGGACAGCATGGCGCACTTGGTCAAGTGGAGGAGGCACGGGACAGGCCAGTGCAGTCAGCAGTTTGGAAGGAAGGGCCCATGGCAAGCCTCGGGAGAGTTTCCGCCTCTATCCTAGGAACTTGGGAGCGGCCAAGGACACCAACAGGGGAATGAGCCGAGTGGCTGGCGCTCAGGACTGGGAGCTGAGGGTGCCACTGTGTCCAGGGTGGGTGGGAGAGCAACCGAAAAAGGCTCAGAAGGAATGGACGAGACACGGAGGGCAGGGGAGACTGCGCGCAAAGCTGTTATTCAGGGTCATCTCTCTCGTTGAAGCCTGAAGCAGCATAGACCATCGGCTGTCCTGGTGCAGAGTGGTGGCGACGTCCAGGGAGCCGAGCGGAGAGGGTGGGGGGGCGTGTGGTGCCCCGGAGAGTGCACGTGGAAATGCTGTCATGAAGGTCAGAGAGCTTGTCCATCAGGGAGAGTGGCATGCTGCCGGGGTGCAGAGCGGGTGGGCACCTGGACGAGGAGGAGGGGGGAGGGGCTTAGGAACTTAGAAGTGAGATCACAGCAATAAAGAAGTGGGAGGTCTGGAAGGTACGGGAAATCCTCCCAGGAAGTAACAATGGAAACAGTGGCACGTCGTGCCTCCTATGCGGGCACGCTTACGGGCTTTGACAGCGCCCGCCCGGCGGCTCCGAGACCTGGCACTCTGACCGGGGCTGGCCTCGGTGCTGGCCTCGGTGCTGCGGACGGTCTGTGCCGCAGGCTGGGGGCGCCCAGTGTGCGGTGTGGACGCTGCAGAGCACAGGTTGTGTGTACATCGGGTGCACCAAGCACCACCTCCTGCAGCATTGCAGGCAGGAGGAAACCCCGATGGTGCACATCTTCACAGGCCATAGAATAATCCAGAAAAACAGCAGTCAAAATACAGAACTGATCTTTTATCTTTCCAGATTCAGCTGTGAAGAATTGTTAAAACTCTGTAAATTGAGCAATATGTGGTCTTTAAATGAATGGCGTTTAGCATCATTACATCTGTTGTTTTCCTGTGCTTGGCAGATGGTTAAACTTCAGGAAGTATTTAAGACATTTTATCTCGGAAAGCACAGTGGTCGAAAACTTCAGTGGCAAACTACATTGGGGCATGCTGTTTTAAAAGCAGAGTTTAAGGAAGTAAGTTCTTTGTCTGTTTCTCACTTATTTTTTATAAATATGTTACTAGCATTTTTTAAATTGTGGTTGAACTTTGGTAGCAAATAAAAAAAAAAGACTATTCAGTGTAATTCAGCACTGGCTTTTCTGGGTCAATAGAATTAAATAGTTGAAGGATTAATATTCTAAAAGTCAATAAGAAATCAGTAAAAATAGAAAAGCATTTACCTAACTGAAAAAAGAGCAAAGGAGTGCTGGCTTGGGCAGCACATAGACTGGAATTGGAACAAAAGAGAAGATTAGCATGACCCCTGCAAGAAAATGACGCACAAATTCGTGAAGTGTCCGTACTTTAAAAAGAGCAAAGGATGTGTAGAGGTAGCTCATGAAAGCAAGGCTAAAAAAAATCGAATGCAATGAAAATATGTTCTGCTTCTCTGCTAGTCACAGGGTTGCAGATTAAAATGCAGTAAAATACCACATTTTAACTACAGAATTGATCAAGGCTAAAACTTGAAAGAACAGCACCTCTCGCTAGTGGGAGGGGGAGCGTGTGAGCTTCAAGGAGGGTGGTTTAGCAGCGCATCTCCAGCCTGTAGTCACAGGCTTTGTCACGGTAACGCCAGTTCTAGAAATTCATCTTAATGAGACGTTTTCACAGGGTAATGAATAAGCCCACCTGTTGCAGTGCTAGGGACATGATACGAGAGGAAAGTGCATTCCGTGTACTGATAACAGAAAGAAGCAGGTCACAAGAGAGCCTTCCTGCTCCTGTTTAACTTCAGTTTTGTAAATAAAATTTGGTTGTATACGATAAGAAAATTTACAAAATTTCTACTTTGCTACTGTTACAAGGCACTGATGTATTGTACCCTGTAAACAAGGCAACCTGTACACAGCGTACGGAAATTACACACCTCACCTGCCTCTGCACAGCCGACCCTCCCCCAGATCCCGCAGCTTTCCTCCGCACGGAGCTCACCGCGTGCGTGCTCACCACGTGCGTGTGCGGGCCTCTGCCTGTGGGCACTCAGTGAATAGCGGGAGATGATGGTGTGGGGTCCAAGGCCCAGTTTCATTTTGTTCTTGTATAATCAATTACTTAACTTCTTCTTGTTTGCTGGCTGATTAGTAATTTCCTAGCCCCACACCCCACACAGTTTGAGAGCAAAAAGAAACCTCTTCAGCTTTTCCGAAGATTGTGCACACCACTCCCCACGTGCCACGCCCATTTTCTTCCAGGGAAAGAAGGAGTTCCAAGTGTCCCTCTTCCAGACGCTGGTGCTTCTCATGTTCAACGAAGGGGACGGGTTCAGCTTTGAAGAAATAAAAATGGCCACAGGGATAGGTGAGAATTCTCTCTGGGTGAACATGTGGTTTCTGGTGTCGGTGTTGTTAAAACACGTATCTGTTTAAGAGAAGGTGCAGACTCACCTTCTCTTGGGGCCACCCTGAGCACGCAGCTCCTTTGGCTCTTGCTGAGTCTCACTCACCGTGGTGGTGGCCTGGTTTTCTCCCTTGCAGAGGACGGCGAACTGCGAAGGACACTTCAGTCCCTGGCCTGTGGGAAGGCACGAGTTCTGCTTAAAAGTCCCAAAGGGAAGGAGGTGGAAGACGGGGACGCGTTCACGTTCAATGGGGAGTTCAAGCACAAGTTGTTTCGGATAAAGATCAACCAGATCCAGATGAAGGAAACCGTACGTACGGACTTCCTCGTTTCACCCTCAGGGCACTCACTGAGGGGCCCTTGGTGCTTAAGAGTCCTTTCTGAGCGCCCTAGCGTAGCGTGGGTTAACTTCGTATTCATGGTAGGAGTGAACGTGAGACAGAAATGAGTGTAAGTTATCATCCTCTTCACGAGAGTGGAGTGAGAGATCTTCCTGTGCCGGATTCCATTGGTATCAGGAGCTGGTGTCCAAAACCCAGTCACTTGCCTTCTTATTTTTGCACAGCGCATTTCAGCCTTGGCCTCAGCCAGGATCTGGGGTGACAGTGCTGGGGGTCATGGGCGTCACAGACCCACTGACATTGTGGCTGTGGTCTGTGCAGGTGGAGCGTCTGGAGCTTTGATGAGGCACTCGGCTGTCTTGTATCCAGATCACGTTCTGCACCACTGCCCTCAGGCCCTTCCTAATGCGGAAGCCCTCGTGCCCCTGGGGTGTTGTCGGCATGCAGGCCAGGAGGGCAGTGGCACCCCTGGTACCCGCGTACAGAACAGGGTGTCCAGCCGGCCCCCGGGCATGTACATGAGTGGAGAGGCCTTGTGAAGGCTCCAGGTCACTTCAGAAATGCAAGCACAGCTTCAGTTGATCTGCAGTGGTTTCCCAGTTTCTCCACCCCCAGCAGTAGACACTGGTTGCTTCACTTACCTACAGGTGTTCAGGTGTAGCCCAGTTAGAAATAAGTTTAGATTACCCAAAAAGAAATGCCGAAGACCAGTAAACTATATAAAAGATGTTCATTCTCATGCGTAATTTTTTTTAATACGAATTAAGATAATATTCTACTTTTCATCTATCAGTTTTAGGAAATGTTTAAAAGTTTGATAATACCCAGACTTGGCAAGTATGTGAGAAAACAGGCATTCTCTTTATGTTTTTATCTTTTAAAAGATGCTTTTAGTGGGCAATTTGACATACTTGTTAAAGATTTAAATGCATATATCCTTTGATCCTTTTTTTTTTTTAATATTCGGAATTTCTGATAGAGTGGTTAAAAGGTGTACAGTGTTGGAGTTATAATTTCAAAGTGGGACTGTTCTCTCTGTCCCCTAGAGATAATCTCTACTGCCACTTTTATTTGCACTCATGCTGCTTTCTCCTAGGATGTAAATATATAGTCTTTTTTTTCTTTAATGGGATTACTCTGTATATGCCATTTGTATGTACCATTGTGTAACCTGTTCTTATTCTTTATTATGGGCCTCTGTCCACATCAGGACTTGGGTTTTTCATGGGTGCAGAGTTGTTGGTTGTGTGAATCTACGGGAGCTTGGCAGTGCCCATGTTGAAAGGCATTTTAAGTTCCTTCCATCTCTACTGGAAATAACATTACATTAAACATCCTGGCGCAGAGATTCCTGTGTGCCTGTTAGAATGTTTCTTTAGTATAAAATCGTTGCCGTGGGGCGCCTGGGTGGCTCAGTGGGTTAAGCGTCTGCCTTCGGCTCAGGTCCCAGGGTCCTGGGATCGGGGCCCACATTGGGCTCCCTGCTCATCGGGAGCCTGCTTCTCCCTCTGCCTGCCGCTCCCCCTGCTTGTGCTCTCTCTTGCTCTCCCTCTCTCAAATAAGTGAATTTTTTAAAAATCTAAAAAAATAAAAAATAAAATTGTTGCCCTGGAGTTATAAGGTCAAAGAATGTGTACTTTTGTTAGTTTGACCACCCTTTGCCAAATGGAAGTCTTGACAGATTTTTACCAGATTTCAGTGTCCAGTTTCACAAGACGGCCCGCCCTCCCTCTACCTGCCCTTTGCCCACCCTGTTCTTATGGGCACAGAAGTAATTCATTGCCATTTTAGCTTGAATTTCTTTGAGCGTCTTTATGCCAGTTAGTAGCTTATGCAAATTATATAGTCTTTCTGATCCTCAAGTCTTCGGCTTTTGAAGTAAGACACAATACCACCACAGGTTGTGTGAATTACATGCACAGTGTTTACAAAAACTCTTGGCCGAGAACCTGTCAGCACTTTAGAAATGTTGGTGTGGCTCATGTTTAGATTTTTCTGATTAATTGCTTGTTAAAGTCACTGGCACATTTGTTGGCATATTCTCTCTCATTAGTAAATGTCCTTTCTATATTAAAGAAATTGACCCTTCATCATTTCTGACAGATAATTTTGTGTTCTGAGATTTTTTTTTTTCCCCCACATGGAAGTTTTTAAATTAAGTCTTAAGTATAGTCTTTTCCTTTATGGTTTCTGACTTGGGGGTCACGCCTAGGAAAAACCTTCCTTTACCCCAACATTTAAAAAATAATTACTTGTGGACGCCTGGGTGGCTCAGTTGGTTGGGCGACTGCCTTTGGCTCAGGTCATGATCCTGGAGTCCCGGGATCGAGTCCCACATCGGGCTCCCTGCTCAGCGGGGAGTCTGCTTCTCCCTCTGACCCTACCCCCTCGCATGCTCTCTCTCTGTCATTCTCTCTCTCAAATAAATAAATAAATAAATAAATAAATAAAATCTTTAAAAAAAAATAAAAAATAATTACTTGTATTTTTCTAGTATTTACATTTAAGTTTTTCCTTGAGCAACATAGAAATTATTTTAATATCAAAAAGCAGTCTAATTACTCTTCCTATTCTAAAACTGAATTGAAAATACCACTGTCTGACAACTTATTTTAATTGTCACCCTTATTTATTAAATTCACATAGTATGGGTCAGTTTCTCAATTCTGTTCTGCAAATTCTATTGCTCTGTTTCATAGCCAGCACCCAAATTCTTTTAATTAATGTACCTGTTCCTATAAACTTACTCTTCCAGTGAGCTTGAGAATAATTTTATCTTGTCTTTGCCTCCCAAATAAGAACATGGACATTTTTTATTCAGAGTGTATTACATTTATTTCCAGTCTTCATTTTTACCATACTGAATCTGTTTTATATCTGTGTTTGTATATATATGAATATAAATCTCTTCGCGGGAGTTTTCTACTAAAAGCCTTGCATATTTAGTAGATAGTTCAGCAAATACTTATTAAGCACCTTCCCTGGGCCAGGTCCTCTCTGAAGCACTGAGAATTCATCCATTAACAATAACATATTCTTACAAGTCTCTGTTTGAGGGAACTTTGAGCAGATGATTACACACTAATGAGCTCGTTAGACTTGAGGTCACAGTTACAATGGAGAAGTACAGGAAAGCCAGTCTAATACGGTGGGTAAGGGAAGGCCTTCCCACCAAAGGCAAAGCTGAGCTAGGTGAGGCCTGAAGAGGCAGGTCACACCTATGAGGGATTTGGGGAAGGCACTGAAGACTTTACGCAAGAAGGCCAGTAGAATGCTGGCACTTGATAAAGGGGATCTTCCCTGTTGGCATGTTTAATTATTACCAGTATGTATATATTAATACCGTTTATCTTTGTGTATTTACCTTGTATCCAGCCACTTTATAAAATTCTCATGGTCTGATGGTTTCTCAGTTGATTTTCTTGGATTTTTGGATTTGTAGGGCATCTACAAAGAATTATGTGTCTGCTCCTTTTCAGCATACCTCTTTCGTTCTCTTAGTGCATAGCTAGAACCTCTGAAATAACTTTTTTTTTTTTTTTAGGTAGGTTCCACACCCAGTGTGGATCAATATCAAGAGTCAGACGCTTAACCAACTGAGCCACCCAGGCACCCCGCCCCCACCCCCAAAATAACATTTTTAGGAAATAATAGTGCTACCAGGCTTTTTCTTCACTTCCTCATTTTTTCTTAAGTACAGGGAACATTAACCTTTCTAGGGTCGTGGATCCGTTTGGAAAGCATGGCTTCTGTCTTTCTGAAACATACATATGTCACATACGTGCACAGCCCTGCCTCTCCCCTGCCCACCCGTGATCTGCGGACCTCCATTAGGTTGCTGTGTAGCTAACATGAAGTTGTTACCAGTATTTGCTGTTTGCTTCTGATAACAGTTTTTTATCCTGAATGTTCAGGGTTTTTTTTTTTTTATTTCTCCTTATATGTTAAAGTTTGTTTTAGATCAAGAATAGATTTTCAGTTTTATTATGCCTTTGCAGCATCTGTCGAGATGATCATATAATCTAACCTTGAAACTGCTGTGGTGATATTAGTTACGTTAGTAGGTTTCCTGATGTTGAGCAAAGCTGACGTTTCCAGAGTGATCTCTGATAGCTGTTGTGCTTTGTTTTATCTTGTTTTTACTGTGCCACTGGATCTAATCCAGGATTATATAGGGTTTATGTAGTAGTTTGTAGCTTTTTTATAAGAGAAACGTGACTTTTATTTTTCCAGGTCTGGTACTGAAGTCGTGTTGTCCTTGGGAAGCTAGGTTTTGCTTGAACAGATAAAAATGCATAACAGAACAGGATTTACCCAAAGTTTGGCCTTTCTTTGCATCAGAAGTTTCTCATCAAACTCAACAATATGAAATAACGCCAAAATATATCTTTAAACTTCACTCTTTTGTGTGCATATACGCAGGTGGAAGAACAAGTCAGCACCACTGAGCGCGTGTTTCAGGACAGACAGTATCAGATTGATGCTGCTATTGTCAGAATAATGAAGATGAGAAAGACTCTTGGTCATAATCTTCTAGTTTCTGAACTGTATAATCAGCTGAAATTTCCAGTAAAGGTAAATGTATATTAGCTTAATTAAACTTGTAGTATTGTGCTGAACCTTGAAAAAGCGTGTTCAGTTCTTAACGCCGTAGACTCGTTTGTCCTGCGTCACAGGTGATCGTTTCTGGCACGAGTCTACCTTTGTGTGCCCACTGAGTGTCGAGCAGCCAGCAAGTGATGACAGTGGAGTCTCTGTCTCAAATGCTGTTTGTCACCATCTGGGAACGAGAGGTCCCTAAAACTCCCCCTTGCAGGGATGTTGTACTTGATACCTTTTCAGGAGGGAGAGGCACGTGGCAGAGCTTCAGGCCGTGTTTCTCAGTATATAGCTGTTCAGGTTATGCCCTAGGATTCTGAGGAAATCCCACTAACAGCTCATTTACTCAGCATTGACAAGCTCCAGAGCATTTTCTGTTTTGATAATCTCTCCTTGTTTCCGTACATGAGAAAGTCGACCCTGAATGGACTGAGAGCTACTGCCCTGGACGTATGGACATATGTGGAGTACGGACCGGTTAGGGAAGCATCAGGAAAAGCTCTTTGAAACATGAGCCTCCCCCTGGAAAGTATGGGGGTCTCATGAGACCTGGCTTTTCAGTGCCCGAGCCTGGCCCCATGTTCCTTTGGGGTGGAAGTTCCCTGATTCTGTGTTGTCCAGTTTGGTAGAAGAGCAGCTGACCCTCCATCCTCACTGAGGGAGTCAAGTTGAAGTGAGTCAGTGAGCAGACACTGATGCGGCCAGAGCTGTCCTCCCCGAACAAGCACGGGGCAGCTGTGCCCTCCAGAGACGGTGCATTCTCCACTCCACGGTGCCTGGGCGGTCACAGAACCCTGCTATGGGCACGATTCTTTCCTACCTCTAGTGGGGCGAGTGTTCGCTTTTCCTTCGCAGTTGAGAAACCCAGCAGTTAAAGGACTGAAGGGCGGGGGAGGTGTGTAGCGGCCGTAGCGGCGATTCAGCCCTGATCCCGTATCTTGTGAATGTATGAACTGAACAGAAGGCTAGGCCTTTTGATAGAGAGCGTGTGCCCTTGGACAGGGAGAAGCTTGTTCATAAGCGACACGAGTGTGCTTCCTCCCGCAGCAGAGCGGGGGCGCCCTTCCCAGGCAGCCTCCTCCCGGTGCCCCTCGTGCTTTCAGCGTAGGAGCACTGGCCGCCTGGGCTCCCACCCCCTCCACAGAGCACATTCGGGACGCAGCAACACGACACAGTACTTGGGAGACATGCCCTGACATAACATCAGATTCCCCGTCAGACAGACGGGGTGTGTTACCCCGGGGTAGGGTCTGCCGTGCATGCGTGAGTGCGTGCGTGCTGGTAAAGAACGCGTTCACCCTTGACCACGCGCGGCCTGCTCTGACCGTCCATTCACGTGCGAGCACTGCCGTCAAGAGGTAAGGTTAGCACTGTCTTTGAAGTGTAGGGACTTCCATCAGGTTCATTTTGTAATTAGCTGATAATTATAAATAGCTTACATATAGATACATACGTTTTCTATAATCATGTATGTAATATATGTACATAATTAGAATCACATACTTCTTGCGTATGGTCTGTTCCCCTATGTTTGTAAATTTAATGCTGCTATAATGGAGGGGTTTTGTTTTTCTTTTTCAGCCTGGAGATTTGAAAAAGAGAATTGAATCTCTTATAGACAGAGACTATATGGAGAGAGACAAGGACAATCCGAATCAGTACCACTACGTGGCCTGATGTGTCGGCCCGCTCTTCTCTCAGCGAGACGCTAGAATGTATCTTCAGAGCAGTGAAGCACTTCGTGCTGTTTCCAGGACTTCTGACACTGAGCCAGCACGGAGACTTTGGGATTCGAAGGAAAAGAGATGATTCTTGCATCACCCTTCACAAACTTTAAGGGTTTGCAAACGGCGTATGTGTCTTTCCCTCCAGTCCTTCCTCTTAACTCTCTTTGGTGTTTAAATAGTTTCTGTTGCTCTGTTGCAGAATGACTTTGAGATTGGACAAGAAGCTATTGGTTAAAAGAGTGTCCTTTGTAAGATGGTGCTCTTGGGGCAGAAAGCTGAAGGTTTGGTGTGGTGCGTGTGTGTGATCATGAATGCACAGCTGAAAAGACCCCCCGTGCTGCGTTCGCGGCTGCAGAGGTGGCTGGTGGACTCCTGCAGGCAGGCTCTCTTAGTTGACGGGACGCTTATTAGAAACGAGAGCCCTTCGTGGGCAAGCATTAGGAAGAAACAGTCGGTGTCAGACACTGGCTAATCGATTATGCAACCTAATACTGGCATCTGTTTGTTTCCTTCATTTTCCATACGTTTTAAGCTCTGATGACTGACTTTAGAGCGAGGTTTCTCGGTGCGACCTCCCCTGCGTGCCGGGACGACACCGGGTCGGGCGTACCTGCTACAGGAGCCCATGCGCGTCTTTGTTCCACTTCCACTGAGTTGTTTGTGAATTTTCTGTTTAGGGGTTTGGGGGACGGTGTGTTTGTGTTTACTTTTCCAAGATTGCGTCTAGCAGCCCCTGTTTTTGCATCGGGGTAACTGCTGTTTGATTTGTTTAATTGCTCGAATAAAGTTTGGTTTGTTTTTACAGTCCTGCGCAGGGACGGCCGTTGCTCTCTGTGCTGTGACCGCTGTAAAAAGTTTTCTAGGAGACTTCAAGTCTTGATATTGTGAAGCAGAGGTTATTTTGTCAAAAGATTAAAAGGATTTTGTTGGCACCTGGTTTCATGTTGTGTGTGTATAGGTGAAGTTGAGCAGGGGACGATGATGTTAGTACGTAACTGTAACAAAGATACTTTTCTGGTAACGTTTAAAAGTACTTTATATTTTACATAATAGCATGTTTCATTTTGATTAAAAGCTACCAAAGGAATTTTGATCATGGTATGAGTGTTTAAAGCAATATTTTCTGGGATATACCAAGTTTATATAATTTAATTTTGTGCTAAATTATTAAAAAATTTCTCCCTTTTTGAAACATGCTTGTTTAAAATATGACATCTTATGGGTTTCCATGTGAAAATCCTCACCCTTGAAGTATCATTATTTCTATATTTGTAAATTTTCATTTGTCAGTTCTATAATATGTGGTCTATAAAAGACCAAATAGATTTCTACTTCTTAAATCCTATGTTCATTGTCTCTAGAGATTGTTAATCTTGTAATTTAATGTAGACTTAACTCTGAATAAAATTAGTTTAATTGGCCTTAAAATTACATTAATAAAACTTGTGGTATGCAAACTACACATTCCTCATAACTCTTCAGCGACTTAAAGTCCACATCCAGGACAGCAGGGCAGGAGTCGCGCTGTCCCATCCTCTCACCAATCAGGGCCCAGGGAGGGTGTTGTTGCAGCGAAAGGCCAACGCGGCCAAACAGTTGGTGTAGGGGAGGTGAGGGGGGCAGGGGCTGCGAAACTGGAGAGGCGGTGAGCGCGGAAAATCTGTGAGAAGCAGAGAAGAAGCTGTGACCAAAAAAACTAAGTTTTTAACAGAACACAAAATGAGCAGAAAAGCCAAAACATAATGGAAAGTCGTGTTTTCAATAGCCACAAAACAATGACAAAATTCCTAGTAGCAAACAAGGAAATATCCACATGAAAAGTGTGTTTAAAGGACATGGGAGCAGAGAGAAGGCCTGAGGAGGGAGCGGAGTGGCTGATCCTAATTTATCTGCAGCGCCTGAGGACGCCGCACAGCCCTTACCTTAGAACACAGGCCAGGTGATCCCGAAGTCACAGGAGAAAAGCAGATGGGCAAAAATGGCCACAAGTGGTGTTAAAACCTGTCCTAGCGTGGTATCGATGAAATGACGTGCTCTTGGCACGCAGCGGCCTCCCGGAACCAAATAGTCCACAAATAACCCAAACGCAGAGGAGCGTGGTGCAACGTGAGGGGTGCATCGTCGGGCAGGATCTGAATTACTACCTCGAGAAAACCACAGGTGGATTATCCTCCTCGACACCAAAATAAGTTCCAGTGGTCGAAGATTTAAGTGTTAAATGAAGCCATAAATATAAGGAGAAAACATGAGATACAGGTTTTTTTTTTTAAATTCTCATTGGAAAACAGTCTAACCGTGAAATAAGATACATGTGTTTCTCAAGTGACAAGTGGCCTTCTGAAAGTTTACGTGGGGAACAGTGTCCCTGGGAGGTGCCGGATAGGACTCTGAGCGCTAATTACGTGAGTGTGCAGAGAGCTGCCAGTGGGCGAGTGTGGGCCGGCGACCCGTGTGGGCGTGGAGGGTGTGCGTGCTCCGGGTGAGCTTCAAGGGACGGGACGGGCCAAGGAGACGGGTATGGGCGCGCCCACCCACTGTGATTTCCGGAAAGGAGAAAAGCCACGGCTGGAGGCAGGGTGGACTCCAAGAGGTCACTTGGAGACACGTCGGTTCAGAGCTTCGCGGATGTTTGGGCACCATCGTGTGGAGAGGCTTCCTGAGCCAGGAAGGGCTGCCACCCAGGTGGGCAGGAGTTGGGGGCAGCCGGCTCCACGAAGGCTGGCCGCCGGGTGAGGAATTGTGGGTGTCCAGACGGGACTGGGCAGAGAGATGGAAGGTGTGTGCTTCAGAAAAGCCAGGGTTCACGGAGTGGGGAGACTGGCCTGCTGGTGGCAGTGAGCGGAAGGGAAGCCCCCTACCCCATCTCCAGGCCCAGGGTGAGGGGCCCCATGATGGGACGGCCCGGAGGTGCTGGGCTGCAGGAAAGCAGGGCCTGGGGGGCAGTGGAGGTGGTGGGAGAGCCACGGGGACAGGGAGGCCACTGCCCACAGGCCTGTGGCCAACATCCCCGCTCAGTGCGCAGCCCACCTCCCCCGCCTCCCGCTGCTCCCGTGGGAACTGAAGAGGCCTGGCGGGAAGACCCACGCCTGCTGTAGACGTGGGGGCTGGGTCGGCAGAGGTGGGAGCCTGGGGAGTCCTGGGGCCATGGCCGGAAGCCCCGTGCGGCCGGCCGGGCGGTGACGGGTGACGGTCTCTCAGCAAACGCACTAAGCGTATCTCAGCTTCGAGATGCCCGAGCCTTTGACCCGACAAAGTCCATTTCCAGGCAATTACTCTGCGGCGTGCTGCCGCTCACTGCCGTGGAACCGCCTCTGGTGCCGTCTCACCACAGAATTCTCGGGTGTCCACCGGCACGTGGCAGGGAGTGCGCCAAGCAGCGAGTGCGAGGACGGCAGCGTGGACTTCGCACTGTGTACCCGTCGTACGGTCTGAATTTCTGTCAAAGCAACGTCAAGTACAATAAATGGCAAATTAAGAAAACCAGAGTGGCGCCCCCACCGGCCCCTGGCATGGGCCCCAGCTCGCCAGCCGCGTCATTTACTTCCTGTCATCGCGCGAACCTCCGTGTCCTTGGCCCCTGAATTTGCTGTTTCTCAAGAGAATCTACTGTGAACAAGACGACATTAGGCCCGTATTTCCCCCCGTGCTTCTCCTCCACGTCTTTCTCCCAATTTCTGACCACTCTGGTCAGGTGGCTTTGGTGTTTATGTACTTGTGTTAACACTCAGACCGCACATTTTGTCTAAAAGCCGAGTGCTCGTCTCCGGCGGTGGTGTCATGATCACCCTGGCCCCGAGTCCGCCAAGGGCGGCCCTGCACCGGCGCCCGGCGCCCGCACGGAGCTTCCCAGCCAGACCGGCTCCTTCCCGCGGTCCCTGCCGCTCAGAATGCGCGTCCGGGGGCGCTGCGCTGAGCGGGCGGTGGCTTTGTGTTCTCCTGCCCTCTACTTCCTCTGCTGACCGAGAAACGCCTGCCTCGTCCTGTCACCAGGGTCGGCCGCGTCCTGAGCTCCTGCCCTTTCCCCTGCGGGTCCCCTCACAGCCGCGCCTGCCCTTCGGAGACTGCGAGAGAACGCACGGGCGATGCTCGTTCTGGACCCCTGCCTGCTCGTTTGCATAGAAAACTCTAGATTCCAGGCCATCTTCCTCAGAACTGTGAAGGCTTTGCTCCAAAAGTTTCCAGCTCTAAAGTCTACTGCCATCTTGTAACTAACCTGTGTTTTGGAGGGTTTTTGTTCCACAAACTCGAAGGCTTCTATTCCCGAGTTTTGTGCTGCTGTCCCGCCAGGGCTCACGGCTCAGTTCTGGGAGGTGTTCTGCCTACCCTGCGTCTTCCTGTCCCACCTTCTCTAGGAGAAACTCGTTAAGCACACAGACCCCCAGATGTCACGAGAAGCAGCGGCCGCGGCCCCCCTCGCCCCTGCCCACGGCGCACTGCGCCACGCGTGCTTCTGTGCTGGACTGTTGTTTCTTGTTTTCTGAGTGCTCGATCTTAACAGCGGACCCTTTTGTGGCGACGGTATCTTCTTGCACCTCAGAGGCCCGGTTTCGAAGTTGTCAGGTTCTCAGGGCTGGTAGAGGGCCGGATGTAGGGAGCCCAGGCTCGGTGGGCTGAGCGCGGTCACTGCCGTGTCCCCCCCTTCATCTGACTTCCGGTGTATGTCGGGGTCGCGGGGCTGGCCTCGGGACCCCCTCACAGCCTGCTCCCCTCAGGCCCCAGCCCTGGTGGTACCGTCTGTCACTGGGGGCTGCGCTTGTCTCCTCGAGGAGAGTTTCTCGGGCACATTGTAGCCCTGCGTGCGCAGCGTCTGGTGCACGGTACACATTCCGTAAACACTGATGTGCATGCCGAGGCGCCGCTACGAGACGCACATAAGGATTAGAGCCGAAGAAGGAACACAAGTGTGGGTGCCGGGAAGCGAGGAGGGAGTTTGAGGGAAGAAATGGTCCCTGCACCGGGAGCTGGGAAACGTCCAGTTTTTGTGGTAACCAGGGGCTCTTTGCCCGCTGCTCCTGGCAGGGGCAAGGCAGTGTTTCTTCTGGGTGAGGACACGAGCAGGTGTGCAGGCTGGGAGGAAGGGGCTCTGGAGCGTGTGTGTGTGTGTGTGTGTGTGTGTGTGAGCGTGTTTGCATATGTGTGTTTGTGTGCACGTGTATTTGGGTACGTCTGTGTGTGTGTGTACACGTGTGTGTGCGTGTGTGCATGTTTTGCTGAGACAGGTCATTATGTAAACGTAGGCATAGATAGGGAGGAATGCAACAGGCTGAAGCCCTGAGGAGATTTGTAAGGATTTCTGTTACCAGTGATGTACAAGTCAAGGTCCACTGCCTTATAGGCCGAGACCTTGCGTTTTACCACGG